AGGAGTGAAGTCAATCAGAATTCATTACTTTATGTTTCAACCTGCAATATTTAAAAATACTGTGAAGAACTGAATATAATTTTAAGCACCTACTATGAACTAAGATTTTGAAATAAAATAACATTTTTATAAATACATATGTGGGTATAGATGAATACATGGTATGTAACAATAATTTGAACATTCAGAACTTATTTTTTCTTCAAAACTAGCTTCAAAACTAGCAACCGCAAACTAGGCGCCGCACTACCTAAGACCATTGGCGATGAAAATGTAGAAAGACAAAGGAAATATTAAGTGCCTCAGTAGCAATCATAAAACCAAACCACTTGTCTTAATAATGAACCCTTCATATTGTTAGATATTGTTTTCTTACTTTATTAAAACAAAAAATTCCGCATTGCCTGAATAACACTGGCACTTCCTTCCGGTTTTTCTAATGATACTAATGCCATTTCATTTCAAACTATTTTAGATCGCCATCAACCTTCGAGAGAACAAAAATAAATGCCACAACTAACGCACAACGATAAAGAAGCATAAACAATGACATAGTCAGAATAGATTCGAAAAAAGTTCAGAAAAAGAATCTCTTGCATCCTGTGCGCGTGTCAATTGCAGTCCAAAAATGTGTCATTTGCATCTGTTGCACTGGAAAATGTGAAGATACGATTAAAAAACCTGAAAATTTCGTTAAAAATAGTTTAAATGAGTTTGGCATGTGTTGCATGCAATAGCAATGCAACAACAACAACAACATTCACGAAACTGCAGCTCTGAACCATTAAAAATTGTTCAACCATTAAACATTGCAAGTTCCAGGCTCAGTCACAATTGCAATTGCATCTGCCACTGCTGCTGCCACTGCTGCTGCCACTACTGTCATTGCCGTCATCGTTGTTGTTGTGATTTTTACATAATTTCCAGCGACAGTTGCGCATTGAATGGCACTAGAGATCACAACATTGAAATCGACTTCTCGCTACTCTGTCTCTCCGACTAAAAGTAATCGAGCTCCTCGACAACCGCGAACAGGAACACCCCAAGAAAAACTTTATATGTCAAAACCAATTTTTTCCCCAAATTCTAGGCATTTTTTTAAAATTCCTATTTTTAATGCAAACTGGGAATTTTTTCGTAGTTCATATATTAGCAATCAAAAGTATCGGTATTCCCAGAGCCGTTCTGCTAGGCCATGTTTTTTAATTTCTGTTGCAAAAACTCGTACTCGTCGATTGCTGTGCAAATCAAATTGTTGTGGCAGCCATTAAAGGAAAATGATTTCCTTGGTGCCTTCTACACTTGTGGACAGCATGTAATGTTGTTACAGTACAACATACGCTCTAAAGAAAACATTAGTAGCAACAGCGAATGTTTCTGAATTCATCAAGAAACGAACGTACTTTATCAGTATAATATAAAATTAATAAAATCAAGTGGATGCACTCGAAAGTCCTCTAATTTATGATTATATCCGGGTAACGTATAAGATTCTTGTAATTTATTTGTAAGATACACTATTGTTTCCATATTTTGTCAGATCTCTGGGATTAGATATAAATTAATAAAAATTTAGTTAGATCTTGCTCGTCGATATAAATTTGTAGCTAATCTATTAGTTTATTATTGTTTACAGAAATATGAATAAAATTAATATACTTGTGCTAACGCCCACTCCACTTCATCATTATTCTTGCAATATAACACAGTACCGCAAAGAGATTTACGTTGCCATTAACTATAACCCTTTTAGGGTTTCCTTCTATATTTAAAAAGAAATTAGTCTATTATCACATATCGGTTTATCTATATTTTTATGTGTATTGGGTATGTGATATGTATTTCCTTTGAGAGCGTCCCGCTTGGCAGATGACCAAGAACGAATTCTTCCAAAATTTTAATCAGAGGATTCAAAGGAAAAACTTCCGATTAACTATACATTTTGAAAATGTAAATTTTTTTATTGAACAAGAATTGAATATAATACCATTAAAATGATACTAGAAAAACGAACATTTAAAAGTTCAACAAAGATCAAATATTCTAAAACAAAATATCATACCTCTTCTTTAATCCAAAATGGTTTTGTTCTGGGAGTTGGCACACCTTTGTCTTAGATAAAGAGCTAACTCAAAATTTTTTTCATATACTTAAAAAACAATATTGAATATAATATTATTAGACCTGAGCCTCTTTATATCTACACGCATAATATATTGTATTGCATTGCATTTACCCCAGCAACGGAAGATTGCGTTCGGTGAAGATGAAACGATAGTTAATCGCATTTGGATATGCATTGCAAATAAAAAAAGCGTGCGCAGCATAAAAATTCCCCAAAATGGAGAAGTAGTTTCGTTGTTGCTTTTCGTTGTCGATAACTTCTAAATATCGACATGAAAACTATATATAAAAATATTTTATCATAAGTTGACGTTTCAATATGTGATTTTGCAATTATTAAAATCATTTAGGCTTAGTTGTTCTGTCGCCGAGCATCTATAACCGCTCATCGCATACAGAAAACGTGAAAAGCATTTGTAAGCGGCAAAGACGTAAAAAAAATAAATATTTATTAAATGAAAAGAAATTGAATAAAATTTTCAATGTTAAGAACGCTTTTGTGTGCTACTTTAAAGCATTTTTCCATTTCGTCATGCAAAATTAATTCTGATGGTATTCATAAGAGTAGAGAATCTCGAAAAGACTGGGGACAGTGCGTTTAAAGATGTTTTCTTAGTTGCATTAGCAGTTGTTATTCTGTTTCTATTAGGATATTTGCATAAGAAACAAATATTTGCATTTCAATTTTCTTAAAGAATAATAATAAGTTTATTTAATTGTGTTGTCAACGGAAGAGGGTGAGCGGTTTGCAGTATTTACATGACTAGAGATGCAATGGAGGAGACATTTTGGTGCCGAGTTATGATTTCAAAAAGCTAAACTGCACACGTTTCAATGCTAATGATTTAGAGTGTCGAATGAAAAACAAGGAATCATATTTGCTCGTATTTCTAATTCAGGAAATCAATGTTCATTTATTATAAATTTAATAGAGTTTAAAAATACTGTAGCACAAAAAACATACCGTAAACTAACTAATGAGTTGTGACTCATAAACAATAATACACTACATACAGAAGGATGGTTAGTCAAGTAACAATCCTTTGCTCCCATAAAGCTAAGCCACTAATTTATCAGGTTCAATTATCAGCGGATCAAATCAGTTTATCACTCTTACTTGAGTGTTGGAGTCATGCCTTTAAGAGTTGTTTGTAAGCTAATCAACTATATCGTTCTTGGAGTCTAGAAACCAGAAGGTTTGCATATAAGCAATGTTAATCTCTGGTATCACTACGGTCGATTACGGTTTTGGTTTACAAGGCTGCCGTTTCAACCTTACCTAACTTAGGATATTACGTTGATTCTACAAATCTACTTACATCTTTAAGGAGAGATCTTGAATCTTACTGACATTATGTAGAAAGTAAGTTCTAAGCATATTTAACCTAAGTTGAATAAACATTTGTCTATAAGAAAACAAATCTGAATTACATTTTTCATCTTCTTCACAGCGAAGAAGAATTATCTGAATTATTCCTGCCGTTTCAACCTTACCTAACTTAGGATATTACGTTGATTCTACAAATCTACTTACATCTTTAAGGAGAGATCTTGAATCTTACTGACATTATGTAGAAAGTAAGTTCTAAGCATATTTAACCTAAGTTGAATAAACATTTGTCTATAAGAAAACAAATCTGAATTACATTTTTCATCTTCTTCACAGCGAAGAAGAATTATCTGAATTATTCCTAGCATAGTTTCTTAACCAACAATTAGCTTATTACAATCCTACTAAAAAGTTATTATCTATCTGGGGTTCGTGCCCAGATATAGATTAAAATAGATTCAAATATTAATAGTACTATAAATGTTGTCTTTTTTTTTCATTTGAACTTAACAACTTATTATGCTACAATATTTTTACAAAATCTACAAACAAAATATTTGAAGATTAAACCCGTTCTAATCACGCGAGTTACTTTTAGAATGTAAAATCATATATATATTTTTCAAAACTATTCGCTATCAACGATTAACTGCTACTTATAAGTGCTCTTCGAGAACCTAATAAGACGATATTTCACCTACTTAAGTAAATAAGTAAAGACATTTAATTTTGTATAATTATAAATTTATTATTTTTATACAAAGATTTTAATTGCAACACACTTTTTATTTTTTTGAATATCAGTTTCTGTTCGTTCCTTAAATATAAATTAAAAATAATATCTTCATGGATATGTATGAATATATATACTAAGCGTTTGCTTGTTAGTTGTTGTTGTGGCTCTCTCAGTTAAACACTAATTAGTTCTAGACTAATTATAAAATACAAATACATACATATATACATTAAGTAAAGGCGATTAAATTACAAAAATGTTTCAGCTTCGCTAAATGTTAATTAAAATAATTAAATTTAACATAGAAATGTTAACTTTTAGCATTTAAATATTTAAATATTTACAATTTCAGTTTATATCTCAATATATTTTATATTATATTATGAATTAATAATATTAAATAGCCTTTATGAAAATTATTTTACTCTGCCACAGTTCCAAACCTTTGCCTTCTTTCACTTTTTCGATCAAGAAATTGAGTATTTTGTTTAATATAAATTTCCTAATAATTTTTTAATTATTATTTCGAGTAATTTACAACGAGTTAACAATTTTTAATTATTATTTTGTACACATAAACTTTTAATTACTTCCGTTGTTTGTTTATTTTGCATTTCTTTTTGTTTTCCCATTTTTTTTTAAATTTTATTCATTATCTTATTACTCTTAATAGGTTTAAGTATATATTTCTTTCATTTAATAATTCATATAATGTATATGTATTCACTTTGATTTCCGTTTGACTCGTTCGAGCTCTGCTTCGAACTCGTTGCGTTATCAAAAGCCATTTTATGGGTCCAACACAAATGTTCAACCTTTTGAACCATTTTCCTCGATGTAGACATTACCGGGCTGCAATGTCTTCAGCAGACGCCGTTCATGTTGTTTAACCGATTTTTCTGAAATTTAAGAAAACGTTCATAAAACAATTTAAAAAAAGTATTGGTTGTAATGGAAAACCCTATTCATATACTTCTTATGCATCAAAAACAATTTTTTGGCGTTAAAATTCGTACAAAGAAATTATTAAACTACTTAAATACCTAAATTAAAAACAAGTATACAGAAGAAGTAGCAGTTCTATATCTTTACTAGAAGAAGTAACAATGGAACACTGACTAATTCCATTAAAATGTTAAATGTAACAGAAGAAGATGAAAAGAGCGAATATCATCTACTCTAACAACTAAGACTACTCAAAACTTTATAATTATGAGATGCTGATGTCAAATAACATATCGAGCTATAGTAACAAATGAGGATAATTTTGAAAATAAAAAGTTATGAAGACAATTTATCTATAAATGGCATAACAATGGATTAGCAAATAGTCCAAGAGAATGGACAACAACAGTAACCTAAATTTACCTATACCACCAACGACCACCGTGTACAAACTTTAAACGCAACACTGCTGTTGTCAACTACCACCTGTTCATAGACTACTGTAAAAGTTTGAGCAAGGTGCAGACATCTAGACAGTACTCTTGGATTAAGACAATGCACGCGTGCCCATATGTACAGTTGCCATGGTAAAATTCATAAATTAGCTATGAACTCTCACTCCGTATAGCATATTCTTCTGATTTGGCCCTTTGCGATTATATCTTGTTTTCGAACTTGAAGATAGGTTCCACAGTAAGAGATATAGGTCAGATGAAAAGATCAACACTAAAATAAACGTTTATTTTGAGAACGTTAAGCAAACCTCTTATATGAAAGGGATAAGAGAAAAAATATAGGAAAATGCTACACATAGACTCATATATATGGAGCTAAAAGCAAGCTATGTTGAAAAATAAACACTAGATTACCGGAGAATCGATCATTGAATTGTCGAACTGAAGGCAGACTATCTGAGAGATACTTCTTGTTTCAAAAGCGACCGGATATACATTCGGAAAGTAATTGATAACATCGTTAAACAAGTATCGCTCACCACTGCAGTAAACGTTTCACTAATCAATAAATTTAGGAAATAACAAATCCATGTAAGCACAAAATTATAACATCATTCCAAACACTCCATAGTGATTAAAGCTAATTTCTAGTTTCAAAATTACTGTATCACGGCTAACTGAAGCATTATAATCTGCATCTTGTGTTCGAGGTATAAGTCACAATGGAATGGAATGTATATTTTTTTGTCATAAATAGAATTTATAAAACATACATCAAATTTTACTACTTAAATATTAGATTAAGAGTTCATTGGACAATTTTTCTTGTAAAATTTAAAAAAATCTCATTTGCAGCCACTGTTTTTAAAAAATAAAGTGATTCTTTTTTCAATACTAACTTCTCATAAATTTGAGTCCAAAAACCAACAAACATGTTTTGGACAAGGATGCCTTAATGCCACACATTTTGACGTACGCTGTCAGGTTAAACAGACAGTTTACAGTATTCTTTTGAAATATTTATAACCCTTCTTTGGTGAATATTAATGACAATAAATTTGCATATACCAAAAAAAATAAACCAAAAAAATATGTTATTTAAATACAAAAAATCAAAAGAATTTGTTGGAGCATACCAAATTAAGCACATTATCCAAATTGCAATCTGTATAATCGAATATGAAACTGTTAATTACAAGTCCTGAACGAGGGACGTTCTTGCCTCATTTCAAAGACTGGACGTCTTATGTTCAGTTAGAGTCCATTGTAGCCCACAGATCTACTACGGTTGCAGAGCTCTTCACCATTAAAAGCATAAGTTCCTACAACACACTCTACAATAGTTGTATATATCTTGAATACCTGAGTAAATTTAATAGAAAAGTCATATCAAATATTTGTGCTGAAATTTTCATTTATTTCTGATAATATCATTTGCAGTCACATCAGTATGGATTTTTGTCAAAAATAAGTGAACGTGATCTGCAAAATAATACGAATATCTTTCCAAAAACAATAAACAAAGTAATGAAATTTGGAGAAAAAGATACTTTAAACAAAACAGAAACGTTCACAGTGATTTATGAGGCAAATGTGTGGCGAATATAATTCACTCACACTTATTACCCGTGATATTAATGTTGGTTACAGCAGTTAAGTGGGTAATGAAAAGGCTACTCCACTCCTTTACTGCTGAAGTATTTATAAATAACTGCGAAAATAAAGGAGAATCAAAATTTTGACGCGTCAACACGATCCATAAATCACGCGTCAATAAGCCTCGAATTAGTAATAAAAGTTCACACTAAGACAATTGAAGGCAACTTGAAACTGACAAGCAACTAGCGATTGCCTGAAGTTGTAAAGGAGCCAATTGCAACTCTCACAAGCAAATTTTACCAATCAATTGAAAAATTAAAATTATACACCACTTGATGCTTTCGCCTGTAAATACATTTTTTTAGTGTGCTAAGTTCAATGGCAACTTTTGATGAGGTTTTTTTGTTAAATTGACTAGACGACATCAGTAAAGGCGCCCGATTCGCTGCTATCGAAAGCTATTCAACTTGAGCGGCACCAGAGGCAGCCAAGAATAATTTTTAAAGTACTGAAAATGACTTTAAACGCCTTACGAAAAACAGTAAAATCTTTATTTATGGCACGAATTCATTTAACTTCATTAATATGCAAATTTTAACACTTTCCACATACGAAACTTCTTGAAACGAAGCACCCCGTAGTGAACGTATGACGCCCTCACTATTATATCAGACATGCCCTGGAAGGGTGCTTAAGTGCTTCAACTAATGTCATACACTAAATAAACACAAAAACAATTAAATCCGACAAACACATTAGATACTTTAAGTATTAGTCATTGTTGTTGGTTTGTTCGTGCCACTTTAAAAAATCTATTCTTAAGTGGATCTGGCATTATTTTCTAAACTATTGAAATGGAAACAATAAAAAGAAGAAGAAATGGAGAAACTACCTGTAAGTCAATACGAAGAGGAGAGATATGAGATATAAGAGTATAGAAAAAAATCGTTTGCTCAGTCACCCACTGTTTTACAACATTTAAGTGTCAATGTGGCAGCTCCAGAATAGAAAATGTGATCAAGGATTTTAAAAATACTACACATACACACACTTCTCCACACACGATGTATGCATTTCGTTTTTTCTTTTCTGCATTTAAATATACGAAAAATTATTTTTAGATTCTGTCATTTTTGTTTTCAATTTTTATGTGTTGGCATCATTTATCTTGGCATTAGCTAATGCATGGAACTTACCCGGTAACAACACATGTTGTGGCTGAAATGTCGTTGGAACCCTTAAAGCGTCAGCATTGCCAATGAAGAACGTTCCACCCTCAATACTTTGTACTTCTGCTAATTTTGCCATAAGTTTTGTTGATAATTCTTCCACATCTGCAATAGTTAGAGAGAGAAAGAATTAGGGAAAAGAAATAAAAATTAAAAAATAAAAATCTAGAAATGAAGTCATTAACAGAATTCAATACCCTTTTTTATATACTATTATACTTGCTAATAGAGAAATATTATAGAAGCATAAATTATATAAATTAAAGATAAAATTAAGCATGTAAGATTAAGCATGTAGCGGATAACAGTAGTATTATAACGACGGTGGGAGCACAAAATATCTGTAGTCACAGTACTCCGCTTCAGTACTCCTATCACCTTGTGTTTCCTACAACATTCCTTCCGTCTTCACGGTTTCTCACAACTGTTTTAAAATCATATTCCAAGTGATGTCAAATCAGTTTCCACACCAACAAGCCACTAAGGGTTCGAGAATGTTATTATTTGTTGTGTGAATATGCGCAATATTCACACAACTTGGCGGTTTCTCTCATTTTATTAAACAATAAGAAAAACATATTACACTGCAAATTAAACAATATAATAAGTCAATTATCATGTATTTGAGAGCATCGGAACCACGGTCTATCTTTGCTAAATTCGTCAATGAAGGGCAAACCGAATAGCCACATATAGCTCTTTTGTGCCTAAGACCATATTTTGCTCTTTAGAAATTAGGCACGGGACACTTCATTAATTTTGGGATTCACAGCAAAGATTTTTAGATATTTAAATGCATTTCATTTTCTTCCTTGTGAATTGGAAGTTAAACTTTTGAGAGCTCGTCCCTCGAAAGAGTAAAAAACTTTCAAACAATTTCACAGAAAATATTAAAATACCATTAAAAATCTAAAGAATATACAAAACATTTTCAATCTTCTTATAAACAAATTAAAATTAACAATAAAAGGAAAAAATTAAAAAAATAATCGGAAGGTTGATTTTGGCTCAATGCCTTTAAATATTGACGCAGTTTTCCTTCCATGTTGCTTTCATTTTTTTCCCGTTCGCTGTCCGTCCGTCAGTTTTGTCCGTTAAAATGATTTTGTGCAACGTAAACAAAATCTTCCATTCGCACTGAGTTAATTTATAGATAATTTATTTATAAACTGACTATCTGAACACTGATCGACTAAACAACAGCTATGCCAAAGTACTGCAGAATATAACAGTTGTTGTTGTTGTTGTTGTTGTCGTTGCCGTTGATTTCCTTATAAAAAAATTTATTTTCCTACATGTGCGCGTGCAATAGCTACTATACACTCTGCCACGGCTGCGAAGGTTCCTGCAAACAATCTCAGTGGCTGTGTGCGAAGCTATAAATCTGTGAGATATTCGCATACGCGTCCATAGGTAAATTGCCGATACGTGCGTACTCAATCTAAACATTTCTCATATACTGAGACCGTAAATCTCAAAAGAAAAAACCGTTCAAAATGAAAAAACAAAAACATATTTTGAAATTGCTTTCAAATTTGCGCTGTTCAATTATTTCAAAATTATTTTTATTAATTTCACTTTTTTATTTGTTAAACAAAAGATACGAAATACAAAATATGAAAATTAGCTTAGCAATCAGTGTTCAAGCGTTGTTGTTGTTATTGTGTTGTTGCTGATCCATGATGAGATCTGTGTACTCGGGTATGTTCGGCCTGATTCTCAATGGGGTTCATGGAAAAAGGAAGTTTATTTTAACACTTTCTATCATTGCGAGATGTTTGTGGCATTCTGTTTTTTAAACTTTGTAATATTTTATGTTCTTAAGATTGTTCTTTTTAAGTACTGCAATTAATGCGAACATTAAACATGTACGATTTTGGTATGGACTTGTTCGCAAAATGTTCTGAACATTATAAACTTGTTAAGTAAATATTTGCGCAACGCATTGGCCACGCCAAACTGAAGGAAAACATATTGGGCACCGAAAAGGCCAACTTTAATGGGATCTTGTATGTATACGGAAGGGAAGAAACATTTACTTAGAGCTTTCAGTACGATTTCTAACTCAGGATAGTTATTACATATATTAACATATACATACCTACATTAAAATTGAATCGTGTCGTTTTATTACGTAAAAGTCGTATTAAAGATTTAAGATTAAACATAATTTTCATGATACCAAAGTTACGTCCTGCTAGAGTGCCAATAGCAATCCATTTCATTAAAGTCTAATTTAGACCCGAATCAATTATATGTCATACCGCAGAGTAGTTTTAAAAGACGCCAGCTGGATGTTGAAATTTTGGATAGAGATGCTCCTATTCTAGTCTGAAAAAGCATTGTGTTATATTGAAATAACGAGAAATGTCTAATAAACGTTTAAGAAAGTCGAAACCTATACTACACACCTTCAAAAACAACAGAACATGTAAGCATAACTGTGACAGTGATCGTTGAAAGAACCTGTATCCGCTCAGCATGCCTACCTATTAGCCATTTAGTACTACAATCGTATTAAACAGTGAGAAGTTATCATGAAGAATGAATACTTTATCCATTTTTGATTGTAGGCGTGACATATCTTAACTAAAGCTTTATAGAATTCTGAAACTGATATTTGATATTGATGGAATTTAACTACATTTAATTTTTATTGTATAAGAGTTATTGTAAATAAATTGTAAAAACAACTTTTTAACTTATAAGAGATAAAAGAGCAGTTTTCTGAATAAAAATGCTCGCATATATTAATGTTTTGAAAGAATTTTCATTACAAAAAAACTTAACTTTTTGCACTTTAAATATATTAACATCAGTTATGTCATATGCCATCAGTTATGTATATTTTAGAATCAAATTTTTTAGTTTTGGATTCGCAACTATCCGAATTTGAAGTTTATAGTGTGTAAATATTAATAAAAAAACATTATTTCTGTGAAGTGTTATGTGCTGTAATAGAAAATAATCACATTTTTTTACTTATAATAGTATAAAAATAATATACATCGTTCCCTACTACATTGACTAGTCACATCTCACTAGCATGATGTTAAAAATCTATATTTGAAACTATATTAATACTTAATCCATATGAAGCTTAAATGGTTTATTTTTAAATATAGATAGAACTAGATCAACTTTTCTCAAATTTTCTCAAAATACTTATCGATCTTAGCTATTAATATTGTATAAATATTTTTTATAACGTTATATAATATAAATTACTTTTGAAAATAATGTTATATGTTATATACTCGTAAGCAGCGATTTATTTACATACTTATATATTTATTATTGTGCTATAGTTATGCTTCAAAAGGCTTTACACATTTTTCAATTAAAATGATATCTTGAAACTATTCTCCAGCTGTGCCAAAATTCTAAATCATTCGGTTAAAATGTCTTTCTAATTTGACATACACAAATAACGTAATCCATCAACATTAATTTTACATCAATAAACTGTACTCTTTCGTTGTGCCACATGTATGCAGCACATAAGCACTCCGATGCCACATGTCTATTTTCAGCTCGAATAAAGAGAACTCTTTGCTTGATAGGTTCTTAGCTATATTTAGAACAGTGAAATAGAAAGAAAAAAATTACAAGAACAACATACTACTTCTTCGGCATAACCTAACCGCAATGTCAGGAAACAGCTGAGCAATAAATTTTTTAACTCTTTATTCCACTATTATTTTAAGTATCACACATTAAAGTAATAACGTAAATGACAACTTTTCCATCAACGGTGCAGCTCAACCCCACAACTTTAATTGTCATAGCGTCAAATACACAAGATTTGATTACGATCACAATCTATACTATATGCGCTGTCGCGATCAGTGTGATCATCGGCTGCATACAACATCGATTGTTAGACGATGACGACTTCCGATTGCACCCATTTCATTTTCCATTTCCTCATAATTCGATTTTTTTCTATTTCTTGAGTATATCAAATTTATATCAAGAGGTTTACCTACGCGTCCATGTATAAGTGACGCATGATATATGGGCTCTTCGTCGTGTGTCGCTATGATGTTTCCCTTCTTGTTTTTGTAATAAGATCATTTTATAGGAAAATAATGCACATAGCACACATTTGTGACATTATTAAAATAGTTTTTCTTTTTTTTAGGATACAAGCATTTTCTTGCTGTGGTTTGTGGTTTGTGGTTTTCGTGAGTAATTTTAATTTGTGGCGATTGCGTTTTCCAGCTCGTCCGGAAGCAAATTTTCATTCATTTTGACTGGCATGTTACCTTGTAGTTTTTTATAGTTCCGCTTTCATACATTATTATTTAAATTTCATTATATTTCTGTTATTATACACATATATTGTCCTTGAGTTAAAATTCTTTTCAGTTCAAAATTGTTAAGGGCGTCCGTTGTCGTTTTTGATGTACGTGACTTTTGTTTCCTTATTGAAAAAGAAATTCTATCTACGTATACATTTGGATATTTCATTAAATTTTTTTTATATGCATTTATGCAATATATAATATTTGAAATTTTCCTATAAATTGGCGTTATTATTGACATATTTATTGAGGATCTAACGTTTCCGTTTCTATGAGGAATTTTTTAAAATTCAACTTTCGTGAAAATTTCAAGCAATATTATGTTTATGTAGGTATTATGAAAGTACAGGCACTTTTAAATTTTTGAATAGTGTTTTTTAAAATTATAGAAAAAGAAACTATATAAACAAAACTTACAGAACATAACAGACAATAACACAAATTGAATATATAAACCGCTCCAGTCGTAATATCTAACATTTTTTTTCATTTTCGTTCACACTTTTAGCTTAAATAAATTTGGAAATTCATATATTAACTTTTTATATTTTATCGCTTGATTACTCAAACGTGATTTCAAAAGTTGGCCTTTTCTGAACTGCTGGCTTTCTTTTCACAACACATTCAAAACTGGTTTAGTGCGTTAACTCTAACGTTGGGGCTTTTGATGCGTTCTACCTACTGAAAACTAAGACGAACTCTTCATAATTGAAATGAAGCTATCTTTATAGTTCGCTATGCTGGAAATTGTTTTGCAGACTTCTCTTCATAAAGCTCATGAGTGATTTCATTATTCAAAAATCAATCATCCTTTCATAAGCAACAACCTCATTTTGAAAAAGATTAATAAAACTTTTAATAAAATACTACGCATCCATTTATAAACAACATAAACTTTACCAACCAACACCTAACACTTGTCCGATCAGAGGCACCCAATAGTGTTCATCAACATAAGAGACGATCTTTTTAATCCAAAATGATTGCCTTTCAAGTAAATGAATCAATTCCATATCAAAACAGCACATAAATTATATAGAAAATTCAAACAAAAACATTGTCTACACCATGAATGAAAAGTCAGAACGGAAAATATTAGTTTTAGTGGGTGGAAATGCACATTTATCTTAAGTTCATATTTTTTCACATGCTCCGGCAAAAGTCAAAATTTACAGAAAACAATTCCAACAACTCGAAATCGAAATAATAAAAATAATGTAAAAAGAAATTTTGTTTTTAAAATAAAAACAAGAACCCGAACGAGAATAAACCAAAAAACAACATAAATAGTTCTAGTCTTCTGTGAAAAAACAAGTGAACAGCTGGAACACGAAGAAATATGATTTTTTAATAAACAGAAAAGATTAAAAAAGATTTCGTTGAAAAAACAAATCGAGACTGTTCACGTTGTATTAAGTGCTTTGGAAAGCAACTCCCACTGAACATGCGAAGAATTACTAAGGTGCAAAAGCACAAGCCACTGTGCCTGCAGCATGTTGTTGCTATTGGCATGTGTGGGTGTCTATAAATAACGCGAGTTGTTAGAGGAAACTCCAATGACTTTGGCTGTTCTCTTCGTCTTATATATACTCCTTAACTAAACACTAGCGTAGTCTAAAACTGTAAGGTTCATGTACGAGTACTTGAATTTTTTTTTCGCAATTCATAATTTCAATCTTGACAATTTTATTATATCGTAAATGTTTGATAGGAAACCAAATTTTAATAACAAAAACATTTATTTCGCATTTTTAATATATGTTGTTGAAGGTTTAAAAATTATTAATTACGCACAATGCTCCATTTTAGAATATAAATATATTAATATTATGTTATGTTTATAATTTTGTTATAATAGTTGAGTTTCATATAAAAATAGTCCGACATTGGAATCCAGTATTTAACTTTATGAGGTTTATAGTAAGCTTATCTCACTTAAGCTAAATGATCTATCATGATATTGTTGAGAAATATCTTCATATATGTCGTGAGCTTGAAAATCATGTTAATGTTTTAAAAAAATTTCGATATTATTCAGATGAGACTAATTTATATAGAGCTTCCGACATAGTACTGCACAACTGTGATATTGATTATTTATGTGTAGATAGGTGGCGATAAATTGCGGCAACCCAACCAGACAGGCGTTACATTCGAATCCACAGCAAACTCGGCTTAAGGATGTCGGTATCATAACGTATGCCGTTGAGACCCTATACAATACGTAATTATCATAAACACAATGATATGTTAGTAAACCCACAATTAACGGACGAATACATTTTATAAGGACAGCTTTATAAAAAATTAAGATAAACCAGCTCTTGCAAAGAAAACAGTAAATTGTCAATGTCTTCTTTTTATTGTTTTAACTAACTTATCTGGGTTTGCATTTAACAAGAATGTCTCTATGTCCTAATTATAATTATAATTGTGAAACCATAATTGAAATTTTACAATCGTAACTTTAACCGAAATTGGCACATTAACAAACCACAAAGTGGCGTCTTACATCAATTTTTGTACGTGCGAATTATGATTTGCTACTACTCAAATATTTTTTATAATATATTTAATTTTTTTTGGCATTGTCAGATGTGTGCACATTTTTTTGAGCACGAAACACACCCAATTTGTTTTAGATTTTACTTGGAGATAGCTTAGTTTTGACCAAAAGTTGCCGCCTGAATATTTTGATGTCTGTTCTACTTCAGCTACAACACAAACTACCAGCAGAGCATAAATTTTTATTAATAATTAAAAAAAGATTTAATTTTATATATACATATGGTATATGTATCTACATATATTGTATAATCTTGGGACATATTATGTGGAGGGTGATGTTTGAGGGACTCCTTGAAACGAACGCATTCGGTGTTTATGCTAAGCTAAACCGAATCGTTTTAGTATCAGCATCTAAAAATTTTTATGTCTACAGAATACTAAGTGACCCGCAGGCAGGCGGCATGAAGCCAGGTTATGCAGACGAACTACGACAACAACCTACAGACCTTTTCGATACCGAACACTGAACATTGAACACTGATCACCGCAAAAATAACGCAAAATAACTCAAAAAATGAAAAGTTTTCTACGTAACTAATTAATTATGCCTGTCGCAAATGCGTAAAACAGCAGCAACAGCAGCAACAGCAACAATAAAAGCAACTCTGGCAGCACAAATTGCCACATGAACAACATTTAAATAATAGCAATCCAGCGGCAATTCCACTCGCAGGCTACGTAGTATTGGCAATGAAAATGTTCTTGCTTTTTCTGTGCGATTTCTATAGAAAAGTTGCGCTCCTCTGACAATTTTGATAGATATTTTATATAAATATATGCATACGTAATAAATTAATAAATCCGCAGATAAATAAGTTTTTATGTCTTTTCTAAATATAAAAAATGTTTACTGTTTGATTTGATGTTACCCATGCCACATTGATAAAAATGATTTACTTTAGACGTTTATCTCTTGGTCGTTCTGGTAGCCCTGCGCGTGAGCAAGTAAAATTTATCCACGAATTATGGCAGGAATATTAATTTCTATCGAGTTGAGACTGCCTTTCTGTTACCTGAGCGTAATGGTATCTCTACGATCTTGACACTGAGAATTGCTACTGTCCATTGTCTATTTACACTCATGACAACCGAAACTACATTTCTATGACATAGGACATTTGTTGTTTGTTTACATTTGCAAAGGCAAGAAAAAAAATTTTCCAAACAGGAAAAAAATTATTGTGTGAATAATGTGTTTATACATATATATCTATGAATTGTTTGTCCATTGGATTTAATTGTTATAAATATGAATTAAATGTGAAGACTTATAATGGATTAAAAAACTTCAAATAAGTGGATGGTTATTATTGCTACGCTTTTCTAAATAAAAATCTAAATATTACTATATTACGTTTGTATTTATCTGAATATGTGTGTTTATACATACATACGAATTCAAATATGTATAATACCGAATCTACAAGTTTGGTATTCGGTAGCAGTTTTACGATTGCAATTAAGCTCATAAACCCATAAAAACCACGATTAAAAACCACAAATTATGGTACACGTTTATATTATAAAATCAATTTTTCTACCGCAATCATTAAAAATTGTTGTCATAAAACTTCACTGAAGTCACTGCTGATTTTTTTTTAAATAAAAAGTGTAAATACTTTTATAACAAAGGCGCTTACCTTGATCCAAACGTCGTTCCATGCGCCGCCACTGCTTCATGTGTTGCATCAATATGCATGCCGCTACTATGAAGAATAGCAAGCAAGCTAGTACCGCTATGAATAGAGCTCCAGTCTGCCAATCCAATGAAATGGACTCCTCGTGCAATTGCAATAGCTCTTCCGGTGTTAGTTGCTGCTCCATATCCAACTCCTCGGACTTTCGACGCTGAAATAACACAAGCTTATAAAAACATGTTAATACAAAGTAAATCCTGTTGACTAACCTCTTTCCAATTAGGCTCTGTTTTTGCTAAAACAACCCAATCTATTTTTAGATCGTAAATAGAGCCGCAAATAGTATCCCGATGTAATTGGCATGGCCGTAAAGGTATCATTTCACCCTGCAGTTAAAAATTTATTTACATATTAAGAATAAAGAACAAAAACTAGTGTTCGTACTTGACACACTGTGCAGGAAATGCACTTATCTTTCACTGGATCCCACCAACTTTGCGAGTCGCACGGCGATGCGGTACAAATTGAACAAGTGCCGATGAAAAAAAATAAAACTATATAAACAGTTAACGTTGTGAGATGATAGCGGGAGATTGTTGTTACAGCATTTAAATAAGAAAACGCAGGTCGTTTTAATCGATTGCATTTCCTTCTATTTTGGATAATATTCGCAGAACAATTGTCGTCTACTGTTGTGTGATTTGCGGGGGCCTCAAAATCGTTAATAGTAAGTTGGCTAAATCTTTTTCGTCTGCTTCGTGATGTGTTGGCTTTTGAATAGTAATCTTCCGAAATTTGCCAAGCTAAACGTTGCGCCGTTTGTATGCTAAGTGGATCGATTAGGGGTGTTGCTAATGGGGGCTCTGCCTTACCCGTTGTAGAATATTTATGTGTTGTATATGTACTTCGATTCGACATAATCTGCAAATATAAGAATGGTATAAACATTTGTCATCACAAAAGACCCCGTTCTTAAAATATATCTAAAATTAAAACGTCTTTATTAGTGAAGTTTTCTCAACTGAGAATTAACCATTGTTATCATATTATAGATAGAAATAATATGAATAGCTTATACACAAGCTGTCATGTGAGGGTTAAATTTTCCCATGTGAACTAGTTTTATTGACGCCGCTATCGCCTTAGATTCGAACTTCGAACTAGTGTAACCATCATGACAATAGTATCACATAGATATTTAACGAGTACTCAACTTCATTGCAATTGCACCCATAAATAACTTCAAATCAAATGGTGTCCATTTCAGCTGAGAACGTTAAACGTTTTCCCAAACACATTAAAATGCAAATTCAAATGAAGTCTTCGAAATGACATTGCACTCTTGCGTCTGTGTAACACAGAAGAATGAGGGCCGAGGGTCGTTCTCTTGACATTTCTGCGTCAAACTTTGAGTGAAGCATCGTTGAAACAAAAAGATGAAAGTACAGATAAATTCGTTGAAATCGTCAACATGGCGGTGGTACGCGCATTTTTTGTTACTAATTTAATTTAGTTTAATTTGTGTGATTTCGGTAGCGATGATACTCGCTATCAGTTGAACAGATTTATGTTTGGGTATCTATGGCTTTCGGTTTTATTTTAGCATTTGTTGCCACGTCACTCGCGTACTAAGCAAAAATCCACTCAGCATAAATCAAGAAATAACAAAAAAAACGAAAAAGATAGAAAAAGAATGGCATTTGCAGTCAAATTGCCGGTTAACTGTTATATTTATTCAGTTGAACTGCAAAAATATTGCCAAAAGGGTAAAAATTATTAGTACAACCTGAGTTGCCTAAACTGCCCGAAGTGAAGCTCTGCACTTTTCATAGTGTGCCGCGCACAGTGTTGCATATTGAGTCGTGCAAATCGAGTAACTGACCTCACAATACTGAACTGTGCTGCTGCTACTGCTACTGCGTTATGGTGATGGATTTCCCCGTCCATTTTGAAATGAAATTGCGCGCGCACATATATGGACATCCACTTAAGGCTGATAACAGTGCTGATCACTTAGCATAGCAGGCCAATTGTCAAACGTAAAATAGCAAAAAGAAAAAAGAAAAAACTAGAAAAACTGCACAGCAAAAAAGTCAAGTCACATTTCAATCCAATCACAAACAAATCGCTTGCGATCATCATTTTCGTATTCAAATGAAAACGCAAACATTGTCTCTTGTCACTGCAAATGCTCGGTGCGATCGGTTTTACAATTTCTAAGCGCATAATGAGCTTCAGCTTCGACTGCCTAAATATGGCGGCACTTATACGAATCTATCAAGCAAGTGCTACAACTACTTCCGTTTGACGATTCATTGACGGTTCAACTTGCATTTCAGTAACCTAAAGCCGCTAATTACGGGTAATTTTAAATATATGGAAAACGTCTTTTTATAGTTGCTATAATATTACTGCGAGGACTTGAATATTACTTATAAATAATTCTCTCAAAATCATATATTGTAGTTGTTTCAAATTTTCCAGAAAAGGAAAATTGTTTGATTAAAAAGAAAATAGATGGATGCTGAAATTGGGAAAAAACATGTCTTATTGATAGTGGGTATTCAAGCACTTCTCTATTTCTTCTGCTAGTGTCAGTTAAAGAAATGGATGGACACGAAAAAATAAAATAAGAAGAAAGTGTTATTTTCAAAAAAAAAAAATAGTAGATTAATTCAAAAAAAAATTTTTTGTGGATGCTCTCTTTGTTATAATATAATAAATAATTTAATATATGCGCATTCACACTGCTTGGAATTTACTCAAATCCGCTACTGAGTGTTTGTGTAGTGAACAAAATCGCTTGGAATTGCTTAACGTTAGTTACGTAGGGAAGGAAAAAATATAAAACATTCATTTAAAATCCACTAATTCGAATACAGAAACAACAACAAATATATCTGAACCGAAGTACAAAATGTGAAAACAACAGGAAGAAATGTTTAATTAAAATTAGCCACAATGACCACCACCGGCACTAAAAACTGTCATCGTCGTCATTGTTTTTGTCGCGATATTATCAACAGAAACATCATGACAACGCAAGAAGAAGAAGAAAAAAAACACTTTAAATATTTTTACGCACAGGTCTTTGAATAACTGTTATTGTATTAAATAGATAATCGATTATTATTTAGAAATTAAAGTGTTGACACTTTGAAGTCCGATGACTTCAATTCTACCACGCAATCGATTAGTTGGCTGTAGGTACATCGAAAGTTAAGACGATCGCGCACCAGTAGCCTCGCAGAGTGCATTCATTAAAACCACTTTACTGATGTAATTATTTACAGTAAAACAAAAACAATTATTTTAAATAAAAATAATTTTTTTTTGATTGATCAATTGTTTACAATTCTTTTGAGTTTTGACTCTGCAAACGAGAAAAAATGATCAAAAACTTGTCGTCTCTTTGCACTTTTATTGTATCTGACGTGACGGTTTTTTGCTTTGAAAATTTTAATATTGGTGAATAATTGAAACAATGGGAAATTGTTTTCAAGGTTTCAATTTATTGTTGTGGCTTTTAATTTATAGTATTTTATTCTAACCGTCTATTAGTTTTAATATCTTGCGTACTTCGTATGTTGTCTTAATTGCAAAAGAGTTGAGACTTACATTTCCTCTTTATATTCAGATACTGTTCCGGTTCTGTAAATTTTTACTTTACACAACTGTCTGACACGTGATGGAGTGACATTGCTTGCTCATTTTTTTTTTTATGTATTGACTTAAATGGCTCGTTTTAGTCTCCATATACGTACAAACCCTATCAACAACATGGGAACTGTTACATATCAAAGATAATGTAATTACATGCACATAAATATGAATGTACATAGGTAACCTTAAACATATACGAGAGTAGAAGTTTAAATATTTATACATACATACATATTGTAAATGGCTTGGAAACTGTTAGGAAAATTAATAGCTAAAAATCTCACTGATATGTCTCATTAAAACCAAGAAACTGCCAGTACTTAGGAACCACAATGTATGCAGAATTGTGTGAAAATAATAACATAATAACGTACATAATAGAATAATGAACAATTCAAAAGCATTTTATCCACTAAACTTAACACTTTTTGAAGAAAAAAGGAAACTAAGAAACCTACGGCTTACATTTGGAAAACGGCCCTCGAACCATTAGCTATAGCTGAGCTTGGAATACTTCGGTTTCACTTGATATCTCTAACGAGTAAAAAAATTTTTAATTGAAATAAGTACAACAATTTTGATGAGTTGCCAAACATAAATTTAGAGAAATTTTTTAAGAAAATTGTTGGAAATTTGTTGTTCTAAAAATAATAAACTACAAATCTGAGTACTCTTGAGCGCGCTTTTTGCCCCGCCTCTGCCGCTTGATGCAACAAAAAGGGCTAAAACAACAAATTTGAAGTAAAAATCCAAAAATAAAAGCACTGTCCCAGATGTTGTAGTTGAATAAATAAATTCATTGTAAAATAAAAATTAAATTGAAAAAAAAATTAAAAAGTGGGAAAAATGAAAATAGCAGAGCACAAATAAAACGAATTTGTAAACAAAAAATTTAATTTTGAATTTTTCTGTACACATTAATGAAAATTGTTTTTTAATCATTTTCTCGTTTTATGTTTTTTTGTTTTTAATTTTCTTGCTGCAACGGCAGCATCTTTGAGATGAAACTGCTGCGCGGCAGATGCGGATCGTCCTCATATCGCAGGGGCCTCAATTAGCGCTACATAAGCGCAACAAGCAGATTTAATCGTAAATTGCAGTCACTGTCAGCGGTCTCAGTTGAAAATTTTTGTTGCCCGTCGTCGCGTTTTAAATAATGCATGAGTATTTGCAACAATGACAGCAACAACAACAACAATATGAAATAATAATACTTAACATACGAGTACAACTAATCCCGCACCATCTCTGACATAATAATTTAAAGCTACACGAGTGAGGGGTTCTCCAATCCATTTCAAATTTTATTTTTTGACTTAGAATTTTTTATAGTTCAACATATTTGTTTTTGACGTAAGGTTATTTACTTTTTAGGTGAGTAAAATATATCTGTAATTGAGATGATTAAATATATAGCTCAGAGAGATAGATAGACTGGCAATGAGACCTGAAATGGGTGAGATCACCTAAGAAAAGGAAGGGCGCATAACAGAACGAATACCGCACCGATACGCATTTCACACTCAATTTTGTTATATATCTTTCCGATAATAAATTCTATTAACCAACCAGTATTGACTTATCGAATTAAAGAACTTTTAATCTAAAATAAATCCAATTGATTAGGGAGGAATAATTTAACAAATTAAATTATATTATATGTTAGTTTGAAACACCTACCTTTATATTTTTAAAAACAGACCATAGACCGATGATGTAATTTCATGGATATATAAACAATTTTTATATTTGTATTTACGAAAAAACTACAAATTTCATTTATTAAATTTGCAATAATTCAATATAGACCTTATAGACATCTTTTAGACCTCATTTTCCCATCCAAAATTATTAATATTTCTAAACTGGGTAGATGATATTATAACATTTATTGTTAACACTATTAGCGGACCCTACTGGGACCTTAGGACTCCGAACCCTATCATAATCCAAACTATTATTTTTTGTACTTTTAATGCAACAAATTTCATTGCCTTTTTAATAGAAAAACTTCGCGTAAAACACGCTATAGTGGTTAAGAAGTTTAGGCCACTCTATTATATGAAGCTCAGCACAGTAGACGCCGGCTTAAACTCCGCTTCTTGTTGTTCAACCATCTGTATAGTTGTTATAGGAAAGAGAGGATTGTTAAATAAATTAATTTACTCACACAAAAATAAATTATTTTATATATATATATATTTTACAAAGAGGCCTAACACACTATAAATTATAGAAATAATCAGTATAACTAATATTCAATGGTAGTACAATGTAGCAACTAAGGTACTCATTTATTCTTTAATTCTTTCATTTTTATTATACACATAGATTACTTTCGAATATATTGAAATATATTCAACGTTTAAGTACAAATATGTGTGTATATATAATATATCATTAAAGAGAGCATACCGTACATTAAAACTTATTGAATCGAACTTTTTTTAAAATCGTGTTTGCCGTCTTTAATTTTTATTATACACATACATTGTGACCGAAAAGTTTTCGGAAATTCTCATTTAAAATTCGCGCGCTGTATATTTTTCGATATTTTAAGTTTATGTAGTTTGGCAGCACTGTCCTTAATTACTATGCCAAAAATGAGCGCGATCTGTCAGAACAGTTCGTTTACGGCAGCTGTTGAAACCAGTTCACCTCAGTAGTGCGTTGCGAAAAAACAATGGAAAAAAATATTGATCAAAGAGTTTGCATCAAATTTTGTGTTTCGAACGAATTTTCGTGTGCAGAATCGTTGCGAATGCTACAAAAGGCTTATGGGGAATCAGTTTTATCGAAAACTCAAGTTTATGAGTGGTACAAAGCCTTTCAGGACTGTCGTACGACCGTCGAAGACATGCCGCGTTCTGGACGACCTTCGACCTCTACCACCGACGAAAACATTGAAAAGGCAAAGGAAATCGTGTTCAAAAATCCTCATGTGAGTGTTAGAGAGATAGCACGAGAGCTAGGCATCGGTCGTGAGATGGCTCGTTTGATTTTGGTGGACAATTTGTGTATGCGACGTGTCAACGCTCGGCTTTTTCCGATTCACCTCAATTTGTTCCAAAAACACCATCGTGGACAGGTCTCGTTAGACATGCTTGATCGTGCCAATTCCGATCCAACTTTCATGGAACGCATCATAACGGGTGACGAGACATGGGTCTACGAGTACGACATGCAAACAAGCCAACAATCATCGGAATGGAGAGGAAAAGACGAGCCGAAACCGAAAAAACCACGCCAAAGTCGCTCGAAAATCAAGGCAATGCTGATTGTTTTCTTCGATATTCGTGGTGTGGTGCATCATGAATTCGTCCCTGAAGGACAAACAGTCAATAAAGCCTATTATTTGACTGTTTTAAGACGTTTGCGTGAAAATATCCGCCGTAAACGGCCTCAATTGTGGAAGGATAATTCATGGATTTTTCATGACGATAATGCTCCCTCGCACCGAGCCAACATTATCAAAGATTTTAAGGCCAAACATTCAATAAATACCATCGAACAGCCACCGTATTCACCTGATCTTGCACCGTGTGACTTTTTCCTGTTTCCCACACTCAAATTACCACTCAGAGGAACGCGTTTTGAATCCATAGAAGACGTAAAACAGAATTCGCAGAGGGAACTCAAAGCCATACCGGAAAGCGCCTATAAAAAATGTTTTTATGATTGGAAGAAACGTTGGCATTTGTGTATCGCTTCTAATGGAGCATATTTTGAAGGAGATAAAATAAATATTGATGAAGATTAAGAATTTTGCGTTTTATTTTAAATTTCCGGTCACAATGTATATTACTTTCGAATATATTGAAATATATTTAACGTTTAATTACAAATATGTGTGTATATATAATATATCACTAAAGAGAGCATAACGTACATTAAAACTTATTGAATCGAACTTTTTTTAAAATCGTGTTAGCCGTACCTGTGGGGACTTTTAGAATAATGTTTGGAATTACAGAAGAAATGCTTATACATAAATCTAACTTTCTTCAAATTTTACCATAATACAGTGACTTGATTTTCTGCTCTTCAAACAATAGCCAGATGAGCAAAAACCCTAGACTGCATACCCTCATTCATAGGTGTGAGCTATCAAAGCGAAAAAGATTTAATGAGAAAAGTCTGTTTGAAGTATGTTTACTAAACAGTCAAATTTAATTTGAATAACAAAACGAAAACAAATTTTTAGAGTCGCCAAGACGTTGAGAATGGAGACCCATTCTAATGGATTTATGCATTTCAATGTTATTTTGTTCCATTAAGGCTATTTTTTGTGTCATTTGGCAGGCTGACAGAACAAATTATTTGCAAATTTATTATTTCGATTAGTACGAACATAGCCGCGCGCACTAATTAAAATTTGCTGAAAATATTTGGTTTTTTGCCAATTAAAATTTGTGTGTAAATACAAAAAATTTTATGATACGTATCTTTTCTTTTGTATCTCGATCAATTGATTTAGGTGCTGCGATCAAGTAATTGAGATCGGACTGAAATTTCAAAAAATTTTGGCTACTCGCGTGGCAGTAGCTATGGATTAGATAGAATTATAAATGGTATATAAGGAACAAACCATTAAATTTAAGTTATTCCAATTAATATATGTATAAAAATTTATTTGTGTAAATTTCTTTTAATTCGAAAATATTTAAACAATTTGAATGCCACACTGTTTTCATTTCAGAAAATTGAACTTTTACATTCAAATGGGCTAGATACACCTCCGCCTTGTTTGTGTGAGCATCGCATCGTGACATGTGGCAAAAGATTTGCAAATTAGTTCCAAGTCGTCTTCAGAATGCTCGTTTCTACGCCCGCGAGCAGTTACTATGCTGGTAGGATTACTACGATTTTTCCGTAATTAAGCAAAACGTAAACTTACAAAATCCTGTAAGAGTAGTACACTCAAAGAAAAAAGTGAACACTGTAGGTTCTAAATTAGGTATTTCGAATGTTTTTAATGAATTAATCAAACTTAGAATGAATTAATGAATAAACCTATTACTTTTATCATCACAATATACGAGTTGAATAAATATGAGATATCAAAACTAAATAAAAGCTTAAAGCTTTTATATCTGAGAGGCTATTATATGCACACATAATTCTATTTGCCAGATATTATGTTAAATTTGAAAAACTATACCGCTTTTTTCATTAATGTATAATGTGAAGGCCTCTTTTTAAATAATGATTTAACACATGATCTTCAGTTTTGTCTAGAAAATCAAATATAATATATGTTATCTTGTAGTTTGTTTACTTGCCAGATTTGTAAAACTACTAGATATCTATGAAAAGGTAGTCTACGATACGTACACAAACAATGCATTAGTAAATCATTGGGATGATTTTTTTTAAAACTGTCTGAACTGTCTTTTTACACCAACAGCCTTAAACTATCCTAGTCAAAGTATTAATTATTTATACTGTTAAAAATACAAGACTCACACTTGTCATGCCCATACTTTAATGTATATTGCATAACCGTGTGCTCTATTACGACAAATATTAAACATATGACTTCTTATACTGAACTTTACTTAAAGTTTTGATGCTGTTCTTCCGCTTTCACATTCATAAACACTGCATATGATAATCTCTCAATACTCTGACATATTTGATAATATTGGATATTCTAAAGCATAGAACGTTCAAAAACGAAACAAAATTTATTATCAATAATACACCCCTGAAAAATGTTTATCCTTATGTTTTAAAAATGAAAAAAATCAAAATTTGATTTATTTATTTATTCAAATAAATTACGTCCCATACATATACGAGTATAAGAGGCGTATGCTAAAAAAACTAAAAGAATCTGAAAATTCCCTAACACATAAAAACCTCAACTTCAGATTTAGACATAATTAGTCCATATTCAATAGGTTAAAAATAAAATTGAAATTATTTAGTTCTATACTCTTTTGCTGAAAGTCGTTTAATGCTTAATCAGTGTCTTGCCATTATCAAAACATTTAGAATTCTAGAGATGATGCTCAATAAATATATGCAAGCTAAATAAACTCTATAAGATTTTTTTTTGTGTGTTAAACAGAAACAAACGGAAACGACAAAATGGGAGACAATCAATATAATCTATAACAGCTAAACGGTCTAACTATCGGAGCAATTATCGCTTTTCAATATGGGAGGAACCTTAAAATGAAAACTATTAGAGTCTATGGTAAATACAAATTAAGAGATTCATCAACAGTCTTTAAAGACACCTTGTACTGATCAGAGAGGATATCAACATGATCACTGGATTTGTTTTATGGTACAAGAAAGATACTGTTTTAGATGCTTTTTAACAAAAATTTCAGAGACCAGTATCTGTCCCTTCTAAAAATAGAAAATGGATATCAAAACATTTGAACTCATCATATGTGAATGCTCAAAACTGTGTAGTTGAAAACACAATTATAACTCATGCGACCCAAAATAGGAATTAATTATTTCAAGCTTTGCAAGCAATTAAAACTTTTCTGTGACTAAATTACTATAAATGTCAACAAAACAATTTTTTTCTATAAAAAATAAATATAAATATAAATAAAAATAAAAATAAGATTTAAATGGTCTATCATCACAGTTGTTGTTATTTACAGTGTAAATTAAAAAATTGAAAAGCAAAATTATATATGATGTTCGACGATATTAATATAACGTCTATATAACATGGTTCTTAGACAATTGGAGGAAAAAGTGTCAGCTAACTTTGAATTTTGACTTTGAATTAAAAAAAAAACCAATGATAAATAAAAAAGTGCTATCTAATTGCACTAAAAATGCAATAAAAATGTGAAAAAATTTCTGTAGAAAACATATTTATTTCAATGTTAAAATATACTCTTATTGGTATTTTTCAGACAAGCATTTTTATACTTGTTAATTATAGACAACAGATAACTCATAAGTATCTTCTATAAAAACGAGTGAATACCTCAAAGAGAGAGAAAGAGACACCGATATTTTAAAAGCCATACTTTATCCATTTATTGAGGGCCTAAAATCACATTTAAGAGTATTAATCCTTAAATATAAACTAAATATACTATTCACAAAAAAAAACCCATATTTTGAATATGTTTAATACAACAATAAGCAATATCAGATATATCTTACTTGTTAGATAAGTAGACAACTCGATAGAGTTAATATGGCAAAATGTTGATGTGGCAATGTATATACCATCGTTGATTTCTAGATCAAAGTTAAAACTTTAAATCGTTTTTCAGTTGTAAAGTTTGGAATGAGCTAATCTCCGAATTTTGAATCTTGGCTATGCTTCTGAACGCTATTAAGTATTTTTATTATTAGATATAATTTAATTCTTGGCTATTCCGCTTTAACACACTTCACTACATCATTCACAATCACTGAAAATCAGTTCGTTTTTCGCCGATGCGAGATACCGCCGTCGCTTAATTCAAATTGAGTTTACTGAATACACATTCACTTCGAAAGCACAGTAATTGACAGCAATCATAATGACGATGATGAAGTTGATGGGGATGATAATGATTGTGGTAGCACAGTTTCTTCCCCATATATAAAAAATACATAAATCAATTCATTATGACCACAGATTTATCATGCATCATTAAGGAACTGAAACTAGAACTTGTTGCATTCGATAACAGATAACAAGAAACAACACAAACCAAGATACCAAGATACGTAGATGCGAAGATACTCATCAACTGCATTTAACAGATACACATAATCACTTAACAGATACACTTTTGTTCAGCGAACAGTGGTAATCCTTTTATTGCAGTTTATTGCATTACAGTCATTGGCGATGTTTGCCATTTTTTATCTGATGTCTTTTAACTTCTGCACTTTGTTTTTATAATCTTTTTTGTACAAAATTATATTTTCGCTTCTATCATTTTTAACTTCAATTAAAGCGCAATGTTCGCAGATCAAAGGAAATCTTTGTTTCTGATTTTTTAACCTTTTTTTATTTAATTTCGTTATATAGAAAATTTTTGATTTAATTTAATTTTTTTTATTTTTCGATTTATTTTTAAATTTGCACAAAATTTAATATAAATTTTCCAATAACTTATGGCGTTTGTTTATTAAATGTATTTAGAATAAATTATGGTAGACAAAATCTTTCCAACTTACTTTAATTAAATTAATTTTATATAATTCGAAATTATAAAATTTAAAACATAATATAATTTTGAACAGTGTTAGTATATATAGAGTGTATAACTTGTTTCGCAAGTGACTTTATTTACAAAATTCGATCTCTCCTCCGTCGAGTTTGAAATAAGACTGAAGTGTTCATTCAACAAGTCTTCGCGTTTAAAGTAAAAAATATTAAGTACACTATCGTCTGTGGGATCATTATTTCACACTGGCAATACTTAAATATTATTCTCAACTTCACATAAGCGCAGTGTATCCAGTAGATACATTTTTCAAAATGTTTTCGATATGCAATTTTAGCGTCAAACATGAGAACCGTGCTAAGTGATCTCTCTAAATATATTCAGTCAGTGTTGAACATGAAAGAAAAATATTTAAAATTTTAAATGACTGACACAACACTTGATTTCAGTCGTCTTATGTATATTTGCATTTCTAATAAATTAATTCAAAGACTCAATTTAAATATAATGGCGAAATTTATATGTCAAGGAATAATAAATATTTCATACTTGGTATTCTTTGCAAACTTTATTTCAACATCTTTCATGAATTAAAAAATTATGTAAAGGAATGACTATAGATCTGAAAGATCGAAAAATCTGAAAGATAGATTAATCTGAAGATTAGTTAAACCGATTTCAAATTAATGACATTATGAACCATACGTAATAACAGCTCTAGTCTTAAACATAAATCAATATTGAAATTTGGCAATATAAGTATACTCGATTTTCATTATATGGTATATGATCTCATAGTTAAAAGCAGGATTCTTACTTATAGTTTAATGCAGAGGTACGGAAGAACATTTTGACCCATCTGTTTTTGTAGTACATCAAGATTTTTTGCTCCAACTTACTCTTGAAAACAATGTGAATAAACTTTAAACACTATCAAATAAAATCGCAAATATGTTTGGAATAGTAGTTCAATGATAGCTTCAGCATGGATTTCTGGTCATGTCGAATAACGAAGAATGAAAATATTGAAGAATTTGTGAAGCATAGTACCCACCGTATAGCAGGGCTTTAACAGCTCCTGTTCCTACCAGTTACATAGGATAATAGATTTATCACCACTTTCTTCAGGAATTTATTAAATCTTACCACGTCCGCCAATCAGGTCACAAACCAGATTTTTAGACTTTTTACTATAAAGAGAAGTGGATTACTATAAAGAGAAGCAATTAAACTAAGCTGCAGTCTGCCCAATTGTAATTCTAAAAATCAAACCTATTTGTGTTCGAGAAAGAGACATCAGAGTTATTTACATTGAGATTCAAACATTCAAACGCACTATTCTGAAAGTCACTGCATAACATATCTAATATAAAAATCAGTCAAACAAAAATTGAATTTTTGCTAAAAAGTTATATAAAAAGGTTTTTGAACAGTAGTTTAGGAAAATAGTAGTTTTAAGGAAAATAGTTTTATTCAATATAAGTGACTTTGAAAATTTCCATTTTTCGTTATTTTAAATAAGAATCCAGTTCTTATAGTTATGTTTTTTTAGTCTAATCGGATAGAATCTGAAAAGTAATCAAATAAACCCTGAATCCATATGTAACAAATAATTATAAAACACATGACTATTTCCGGACATAAATTGTGGCAGGACAGTTATTGCCGAATATGCGAAAAGTCTCTTATATCCACAAAGTTATCATAATAAAATACAGGCCTAGGCACCTCAATTTCAGTTTAGAAGAAATCATAGTTAAACAGATTAACTTCTTTTATTGAAATACAGTACTATGATTAGAATGTAAGAGGTCCATGTTGCACTGAACATTACAGGGAACAGCTAATTTTAAAATTTCTTCTGTATTTGAGAATTTTTAAAAAAGTAACTTAGTAGTAATGATACTTTTGTAATTGTTTATGCTTAATAAATGGTTATCTCTACTGAGTAGCGTAGCCTGAATTGTGCCAAGATGGGAATATATTAAAAAATATGCGTATACAATGTATCTTTGAAGTTTACCAAACTTTCTAAACACGCCACTGAAAAATCTGTAAAAGTAGGTAAATGAAGGGAAAGAATGTGCTACGGCTTAACATTAAAATGATGTTAAATCATTACCAATCATGATAAAAAAAGAACAGATCAGTGAATTTGTTCAATTAAGCTTAATTTCATATATTGAACATATTACAATATATTGTCAACAGTAGGTTTAAGAAGTTCAAAAGTTAGAAGATTCTAGGTCCCTTCTTTTGTTATCAAAAAAATAAAAATATAAAAATATAAAAAGACATCAGTCAAGAAGCAATAATAACAATGCAATCATTATGTACACTTAAAAAATAAACAAGAGTTTCGTAAAAGTTTGATTGTATGTTTGTTTGTAAAAGAATTATTTAAAATTGAACTTTTGTAAGCTAATTATTGATTGGCGATAAACTGTTCATGTGATGAATATATCTAGAATAAAGTAAGTTACGTTGATAATGAGAATATTTTCAATGTATGATTTAATTACTTTAGTTAATGATGTTAAGGACCTAGTTTACATAGAGAATTTCTAAATTTTTTTTTTTCAAGGAACTACATATTTTATATTATTTAACGTTATTCAGACACTTTTTCATTCCTTTGATAACGTCTGTCTTCAGTCAATATCTATTTTAGTTCTTTTTGCTGTACTAAAAATCAAGTACTCAAAACGAAGGCATCCAGAAAAGCAAATGTGTAATTATTGATTTGTCTTTTTTTACGAATCATAATGTAAATATTAAACAACTGACAAATATGGATTCAAAATATTCTAAATACATTAAGTATCTAAGCCAGGCTAAGTATTTAATATGAAGCTACGTTTATCAAACTATTCTATCAATCTTATCAAACTTATCAAACTTATCGAATGAAAGATACTTCGAACAAACTGATAAAATAAAAATTATTATATTCAGTAATGTAACAATATATTAGTATAAAACCAGTACAATTACAAGTACATATAGCAACTTTCAAATAATTTACATTTAGTTAAAAATGTTTTTAATGCATGTATGTCAATCTGTTCATATACAAAAGTTTGAAATTATTTAGTGTATATATAGCCCATATTTTTATGTAAACACCTAATGCTAAACATCCTTAATATTATGATTTAATATTTTTTACGAACTAAGAAAATGAGGAGAACTTTCTTCTACACTTAGTTACTTTCACATTTATTTTCTCATTATATACCGAATATTATAGTTATCTTATATATAGTAGCTATATCTAAAATTTTTACTTTATACTTAATCGTTTTTATTTTCAAAGTATTTAGTTGAGGAATTTTAAATTACACAAGTTGAGCCAAATAAAAATGTTGAACACCACATTTGTTTTACTTAAACTCAGACAAAAATACACAACATATAATATTTTACATACATATTTTCATATAAAAATAATAAAATAAGACTAAAATATTTGAATATAACGATCACAATTAAACTAGAACAAATTCACAAATTACAAATTACAAATTACAAATACATTTCATTTTATATTACTTATATGTCACAGTATAAAAAGAAAAATTACAACTAACGTATCATTCATTTTTTATTAATTTTATTATGTAATATGTATATCACTAGCTCATTTATATTATATATATATGTGTAAAACATATATATTTCTGTGTTGCAATATTTATTAAAACTACTTTGTATTTGTTTTATGCTTTTAATAATTATATTAGTCGTTCACGTAAAAATATCCTAATTGATTTAAAGATTTAACTAATCGCCAGGATGTTCAGGGCAGGACCGATTTACTTCGAACCATCTATCAATGCAACTATGAATAATTTATTTATTAATAATTTTTACAAATTTAATGATTTTATATTTGTATATCTTACCCTTTATGATATATACAAAGGCAAGGTAATCTTGCAATAACGTCGCCTGGATTTAAATCCTCTAAGCATATTACGCATTCACCTTTTGCATCTGATAAAATATCCTCTAAAAATTCCAATTATAAATTTTGTTTATTTAAAAAATATTTTATATATTTAAACATACCATTATATGAAAGTCGTGGTTTTGTGAGGCACATAACTAAATGGCATTCAATATCATCAGGTAGAACAAATTTATTACAAACTGGGCATTTGATTCCTGTAAGAATATATATAGTTGTAAGGAGTCTATATTTATAACAATATTTTTAAAATGTCCGCCTTTAACCATCGGCAAACAACCTAACGGCACAAGGTTCTTTCTCACAGCGGATTAGCTCTATAAAATCTAAATATAAACATTTTACCGAGTTCAAAATACATCAGTTTTAATACTACAATATGTTAACTAAAAAAAACTTATTTATTTTAGATAGTAGAGCATTAAAAATAGTCAGTAACTTGATATAAGAAAATGTTTCAATGGACTTAAAAACCAACTATTTCTAACTAATGACAAAATATCTAATTTTTAAATTAGATCTAAATTAAATTAGATTTAAACTAGATCTAAAATATCTAAATTTTAAACTGTGATAATTTTCGACGAATGAAAATAAATAAAAATCTTAAAATAACAATCTCCAAATGTTTCTAAATATGCAATTAACTACAATGTTTACTTCTCTTATCTTTAATTTTGCTTCCATACCTTTGTGCTCGCCTCATCTAAAAGTATTCTAAAATACATACATACTTCAAGATGATGAAATTTTAGATGACTGATTAAAATATTAAAATAATGTGAGATACAACCAATACCTTTAATGAAAATGCAGTTTTCTGTAAAAAGCTGTCTTATGTTTCTAGAAATCCAATATCCCAAGAAAATATAAAAAAAAATAAAAAATTCCAAGAGTATCTTAGTTCAATTTTTTATAATTAAGATCTTTCTGCTATAACATTTGAAATATTTGATGTAAATGCGGGACACAAACGTTCACTAATAAAAAACAGTTCCATGGACCACATATAATGTTAAGTAAACCGCTTTCATTAATATTGGTATTATGTATACATTTTTCATTGATTGGGTTTTTTTATAAGAAATTGTAGAAAATTTTATCAATTAACAACTTTATTAACTTACCATTAAACGACCATATGTGTGATGGTAGCGATGTAGCTGTATAAACTCGTCCAATGCCATTCTCACTACCAGCTGCAAGAGCGATACTTTCTACAAAATTAGCGCCCGTTCGAGATACCTCTTGTAGGTCTTCAAAATTTAATGCTAGCTGATGATTGCCCGCTCCTCGACTAACTGGCACATTTAAACGAAAGCTGTCACCTTGCGGATGACGTAGATAGGTGGTATGGTTTTGTGATAAATTATTGTTGACAACAACACCAAAGTTGTTTCCGCTTGGTGTAGTAGTTGCTAAAGCGGGATGTGTATGAGAGGTGCTCTGTTGATGTATATCTGGTACTGAACTTAAACTACGTGCACGTTGCCTATCTACAGCGCTTTGGACATGTTGCATGTGAAGCCCTGGTAAAGTTCGCAACAAGTTAAATCCTTGAGCCGATTCCTCTCCTGGTACATTTAAATCAGCAGTAGGTGACGGTGGCGTATCTGCAGAACTGCTAGAAAATGTCCGTGATCGTGGGCTCTGATGGCCGGCAGGTGTGCTCGACTTTGCGCCCATTCGTTGGGTGTGTGCTAAGTGATTTTCGAATTAACTTTGTCTTTGTGTTCTCTAACAAAGAAAAAGGATTTTCTTGAACAATGCACTTTTAAATTCCTTTTTCTGTTTCTTGTTTCCTCTTTTTTTATATCTATATCGTTGTATTCTGTTTTAACAAAAAAAAATTAATTCAAAATAAAACTACGTTGACATCAATTAATCGCTGACGCAACTAGGATGATTTGGATTAAAAACTAATTTGTTATTATTTTATATAATAATTACTTTGATCATAAATAATCTTCGTCCAATGCTGTTCTTTTTGTTTTGAAACTTCTCATGTGGCACAAATATTTTCAATTATTACCATTTCTGCGTTTTAGCTGGTGTATTTTTTCTTTACGTCTGTCAATTCAGTTTTAATTAGAGTTTCATTTTTATTTTAACTTCAGCATTTATGACATTCCATTTTTTTGTGTATATGTACGAATATATATATATATGAATTATATTTATACTAAAGATTTTAACTGGGCAGAAAAAATTGCATATATTAATTTTACTGACAAAAACCAAATGTGTTCGCTTTAAAATCTGCGTATATACCTTACATACAAAATTTTAACAAATAGAGTTATCTACATAATCGGACACGGTTTCTGATATAGATTGCTTCTTTTTGACATGACAAATTCACAATAGACAACCAAAATTCAATGAAATTTAACTGTCAAATCAGAAAATAAGTAATAGATACCTTTTTATATTACGTTTTATATATAGGTTAAAAAATTTTAAATAAAATAGAAAAACAAAGCAACTTATGTTTGTTTCTTAATATTATTAAAAATATTTTATGAAAATAATGCTGCTAATTTTCTATATGTAAATGAAAAAATGAAAACTTATACCGTTAATTTTAACCCCACTAAATAAACAAGCAATGCAGTATTGATATTTTTTATTCATTATTTAATATAATTATGCATTTGAAATAAACTTGTGGATTTAGTTATTTTATAAATCATTTAGATAATTTGTTTTCAGAAATTAAATTATATTAAATATACAATTCTATGTATTAAATAATATATTTAGTTTACTAAAATATCTAAAATTTTCAAATAAGTCTAAAAAATATAAATTATATTATTTATGAGACACACTAGTACAAGCTATTCATTTTTTTATAAAACATAATTTATACTAAGAGAAAAACATTAAATATATATCAATACAGACATAATAATTTTTAGTTAATATAAATTGGAAAACGCGATTATTTCGAATTACGTACGATTACAATACATGTATACATGTATATATAATAAAGAGTTACTTTAATGCCTATAATTTTGCATATATACGAATTTGTATTATTGTGGCTAATAAGTCTGATTTTCTGCATTTGTTAGCATTGCACTTTGCCATATTGTGATCTTCGTTCCAAAATTTCACGATACTCCTTATAATTCATCTGAATTTCTTGAGAGCGATAACGCGTTAATTTGATTGAACGACGAGTGTCTGGGGTGATTGTGGCTCGATATCCACCCTTCCTGAGTAATGAGTCAATTGTTTGAGTTTGATCCCAACCTAAAATAAATATCTGTTTTAACATATACTAACCAATAAATATACTTCAATATACAGACCTTGTTCAGTAGCTACTTGCGGCAGATAAGTAGCTGTTCGTTTACATCCTCTTTCATTCAGAAATTCAATACGTATTCCATGAATGCCTAATGTCCAATCTAAATACCCATGGGCTTCTTCAAAATTTTGCAATATTGAGACGGATACAGTTAATTTGGGTAGTTCCTCTTTGCCGATTGGCGAAAAACGTGAATCTTTTAATGCGCTTGTTAAAGCATACTCACGTAGTCCGGAATGTAAATGCATAGCACTAAATGTTCCAATACAACCACGAAGACGCTTATCACGACCAGTCTTCCAAGTTACAAATAATGGACTAGAAATATCAGATTTAATGAATGGAACTAAGTAGATCATGCACAACTAAATATATTAAATTTTATTACTTACTAAGCGTCATTAGTAAATTGTGGAACTCCAGGTCCATCCAAATTATTTAACTCAGAATCAAGCACCTCAAAACAAAATAAGCACATATCGGGTACCGCAACGTTATTCAATGGTTTCACACTGTGTCCGTTTTGCATTCTGGTTGCATTATTTCTTTGACGGTATTCGTCTTCGGTAATGCCATTGGTGTTAACATTATTATGATGAGATCTCTGAGAATTTGAACCGCCTGGACGAAAATTATTTTGGTTTTGGTAGTGGGAATTATTGGACATATTACTTTTTACTTTTCACAACCCAAACTATAACTTGTACTAGTCTATGACAATATAATTTGGTTACTATACAAATCGGCACTTGAATTTAGCTTAAAATTTGTCGTCTTTTAATATAAAGCTAATATTTAATTAATTATACTAATTATATTATTGGCAGTGGATTGATGATGTATGATTTTCTTCGCCTCCAGCTAAAAAAAAAATTTGATACATATATCATATAAATTTTATTCAAGATATATTTACACATAATTAATTTGGAAATTCTAAAAGAGAACTGGAAATATATTTTTATTTTCCAATTCCCAACATGTTTGTTGGCTATGAGAACAAAAACAAAAATGTTTCAAATTTTATACCTGATATAATATGCATGCTTATACTTCACCTGTGTTCTTTTTTATATCAAAAATTTGAAATATCAGCTGCAAGAATACATACTCAAACACTTTGAATCGGAGATGAATGCATGCATACATATATACATACAAAAAGTGTAATGTATATTTGATTACAAAATCATATATTGTAATATTTTTGAACACGGAACTCGATATCAAAGGCATTGACGAATATAGCTATTTGTTTAATATTCTGATAATTCGCATAATGTACTGATATCAGGTATATTTGTACGAAACGATATTGAACAAGGACATAATTTGTGAACAATCATATGCTCCTACCTCTTTGTAAATCATGTATGTTTTTTTCGTGTTAAACTTTCCCTTCCTTCTTCCACACTTCCAAGAACAAAGAATGCAGACGCTAGAGATCTTTTCGCTTGGTACTTCCTGTTTTACACGTATCGCTTTTTAACATTTGTAAATCTGTTTTCCATACTTTAATTAATTCATAACTCATTGAACTTCCAAGCACTAATTTATTATTTTTTATCAAATTGACCAAAAAATTCTTAACCAAACCTCAAATTGTGTTGATTTATAGTTGTGAACTGATAGAAAATGTCGAAAAGAGATATTATTGTGAAATCAGAGTTACCAAGATTCGTTAAATTTCGCTCATTCAAAATGAAATACATTTGCATAAATAATATGAATAGGTAATTCGAAACTATATAAGAATTGCAGGCATGAAAATTGTAAATTATATGTTTATAATATATATTTTTTAGCAATTAATTTATTCCTCGGAAGTTATAAATTTGCAAATAACTTCCAAATAATTTCTTATACTAAATAAAACTGAATTGCTTTCTTATACTAAAGCACCAGACTTTCAAGAAAAATAACAAAGTTTGTCTTTTCTTTGTTATTCGAAACCGTCTAACTTTTAAAGTTTGAAATAGTTTTTTTTTTCATTGTTATCTTATATTAACAAATTGAATTTTTATAAAATAAAATCATAATTTTTGTATTTTACTCTTTGTTTTCTATACATTTGAATCCTTCATATAAATTCTTTAGAACTAGTTTTACATATTTAAACAAATACTATTAATACCTATAAAAGCTTTCTGTTGTTGTTTCTTATATTAAAGAATAACAATAAAATTAAAATATTTTCTTTGAGAAATCCGAATCTACTCTTTAAAGCTCTTTTTGAAATTCGTTTGTATTATGATTTTGTTATTGAACTTATGTTTTGATACATTCTTGCTTCTGAGTTATACCCACAATTTATTTTTTTTTTTGCTGGTTTCAGATAATGAACAAATAGATATATTTTGTTTTTGAAATTAATTCTCGATTACATGAGCCTCTGCTAGTGAGGACATGAAGAAACATTAAAGTTTTAAGCAAACATTTGCTACGAAAATGTTCATTATAATTTTTTGCAAAAGCCTAATAAATTAATTAGTGTAAAAAGTAAAGAACTTGAAGGTGTGATATCTAGATGAACATATTTTGCAATTCATGATTAGAAGGCCTAACTTAAAAGGTTTTAATAGAGCAAAAGTGCTTTCTTACTAGAATTAGATTCTAGTTAATACATATACTGAACATGCATTCCACTCCACGATCAATTATATAATGAAAACGAATAATAAAATACGGCAACATCGTATCTACTCAAGAGCAAAACGGGCAAGCAAAGAAGAATGTCAAACGCGCCCGCTTCATTTTCGTTTACTCTATTACTCATTGATTAATAAAATAGAAAAATAATAACACAGAATATAAGGCCGAAACAAAAAATATAAATAAATTATTTACATTACACTTTAATCGCAGAAGTGGTGGCAGCGTGTTTTGCGTTGTTTCTCGCAGGAAAAATCGTCGCGAAAAAATTCGAAATTTTTATTGCTGGAAAGGGTGAAAAATAAATATCGATTTGGCCTGCAAAAGAAAACGAGAGAATTTTATCGAGGTAATCCTTATAAAAGTGATGAAACGAATTTCGAACGGCTTTGTTAAAACGAATTATACTGCTAAGCTAATTACGTGACTAGTAAACTTGTAATTGCAAAAAAATTATCTGTAATAATTATTTACACATAAAAAGTGTTTAAAATATATAAGCGCAATTATATCTGAATCTTCCCCCCGTCCGCTAAAATTGACAATTGTGAGAAATTGTAAAGATTTTCCTACAACTCAAGGTGTGTACCAGTCCGTTTGCATTCTCATAAAATCACTTTGTTTTAATTGATGTGAATATGTATGTCGTTAATATGCTAATAAATAATTGAAACAGTGCTAGTTATCGACTCCCCATAAAATCTCGTATACAGAAATTGTGTATTTTGGGTGTTTGGGCAAGCGATGAGCTGTTGTGGATGTTTTCATTGTTGCTGGGCACTCCAATGTGTACAGTTACTGATAATTAACCATTGGCTCAGAATAATTTAATAATGTGTACTTCTGTAAATGTGCGAGTGTGTAATTTAATTTGTTTCGCAGCCCACATTCCATACTTGGAATACCAAAAATCTTATCAAGTTAACAATTCATCATATATGTACTGGAGTGCGTCTCTACACACTCCCAAGTACTCATATACTCGATTCTGGTTGTACTGCCACAATTAATAAATAACTTAATGTTTAATTTGTACTTAGATTGCCTTCGAATATAGAAGAGACTTCTAGTATGTACGCACGTATTGTGACTCTTATCTTACTTTATCTAAAGATTGTTCCATTATGCGGGTAAGTGAAATGTCTGTGCAAACATACCAGTACATATTTGTAAATATGTGTTTTATTTGAATCACGAGGCTGACAAAAATCTTCAAGTGAAGTATCATGTATAAGCCGGCATATTTTATGCGATAATGGTATAAATAGATCAGCAACAAATATTTCATCTTATTGGGTTCACGCGTCAACCCCTTTCCACCATGATTCACGCTTTGTTCTTCGCAAATGAACTCTAAACAATGAATCACATTAAAATGATCCCCGCTAGTTGCTTCACTTAAATTTAATCTACGTACATATGTATATTAAATGAAGCATAGGAAGACGTTGCTATTCTACAAATGATCAATTAACTTCAACGAGTACACGAAACCGATATAAAATAATTCCGAACTTGATAAAATACGTGGTTTTTTTATAACTTTGTATAAGTGATTATAAAATCACTGTTGCGGAATAATTTTAATAGCTTATCATTCAAAGAGCTTCAGGTTGATATATGAATCTATATGTACCTGTACACCTCTCTTATGTACATTGCAATGGTTAGAAGTGTAGTATATTTCATACAATCAATAAAATAATATTGATTTATATTAAAAAATTCAAAGAATCGGTCACCGTTGTGTTAATTAATTTTATGTTATCAGATTCTCAGTGAAGTACGTTTTCTACGGCTTACTAACAATTTTCCACTGAGCGGAAGACGTGATGTCATAATTAATCATTATCATTATTATTATCATTATTAGAAAAAAAAGGTTTTTAAATTTCTCAGTTAAGATAAAAAGTACTTGGTTTTCTAAATATTTTTAAACTGCTTAACAATATTAAAACATTTTTTTAAAAAAATTACGTTTCTCGAGATCGAAGATTATATAATCAATAAATGTGTTGTTGTAATTGTAATAATTTTTAATCTTTTTCACCCAATTTGAATTATATTATCGTACTATTTGCATGAAAATTTGTTGTTGAAAGTCGAGTAGGTCCATCGGTCCATTGTTTTTGGCGAAGTGGCACTTTATCTTAAGTTGATTTTGTCATTTTGATTGATATCTTAAAAATAAGATATCTTATTTATCATAATATATAAATTGCGATGAATCGCATTTAGTACCGCATTAAAAGCTTGTCATTATTGTTATCTTACATATATGAATTCGATATTAATTTAGTTTATACAACGGTTGTTTTAGTTTGTTTAGAAATCTTATTGAGAACCAGAGATCACAATCCACAGATTTATATTAAAAAATGTAGCTAATTTGTAGATTTGAATAAATATAAATATTATAATCTTTATTAAATATTTAAAAAATGCACAAAACATATTCTTCATTCATAACGCTCGACAATTAGGATATGAAAACAACTATGGTATGGTCTATTTACGATAATTTTTGTATTAAAGTTATAATTAACTAACTAATTTTTATATATCACAATAAATCACAGAAGTGATGGCGGACAGTATATTCATAATTCGATGTTTTCGTGGGTAGAGGTAACCAACGGGTATACCATAATAAAAATGAATGAGTCCAGCTTAATCTCTTGATATGATAAACTTTTTGATATTGGTAATGTTTAATGGGAGAAGTTCTAAAATATCAAATTTTTTTTGTTCACATATTTCTATATCCTTCGTTACTTTATCATCGCTGCTATCATCGACTTAATTAATATTATAATGTGTGATTGCCTGTTGGCTCAAATATGAATGGAGTAAATATCAAGTTCACTGTGATGATACTCATTATTGATATTGCAGTAAATATACAAATGCTTGTGCCCATAAGTACAAATGTCAGTAAATAACATGTACACAGATAAGCTTAAGCTGTTAACAATTAGTAGCACATATCCCGTAATATATCTTCATGCAAATTACTTGGTTTTTTAAATAAATAAATCCTCTATTTAAATGTGCCTGCATGAAGCAGTAATGAGTAATGGTGTTTCTAATTTGTTAATTTGCGATATGCTTATTACTTCCATTTAAAAACTAAAAAGCTCAATTAATTATATATTTACCTACCTAATTTAACATGCAATTAGAGACTTTCCGATTTTAAAACATCACAATTCTTTGTAGTTTCTTCTGTGTATTATGTTACCTTTCGGAGTGCTTCATTCATGAAAAATTATATAACTCAACGAAGAGTAACAATAAGACCAACTTTATATGAAATATTCGTTATAGCACTTATCATGTCCATTTTAAGAGAAAAACATTGAGACACTTTCAAATAAATTAAACAAAGTCCAAAATTTGTCATTGGAGAATCTTTGTTTGAACTTAATGACATATAGAACGTAACAACACTTGGTCATAAATCTCTTCATATATGTGAATACTATTTATTTTCTTATTATAGTTATATTGTTTATGATGTTTCACTCTTTCACCCCATACTCTAGCAATCCTTATCATTCAAAGTAAATAACATAAACTTTATATTATAATAGTAAATAAAAAGTTATCAAGAACTTTTATTCGACAACCATTGCATGGTCAGATTAAAATAGTAAAACTGTTTAAAATTTTCAAAAATATTCAAATACGTTGTGGGAAAAACAACGCAACAATGTCAGATCAATTAATATCAGACTTCGCCGTATCGCTAAGTTTTAATCGACCCCGCAGTAACTAGAAGTCAAATCTTGAACTTCGCCTTCTGAAAATCAAGTGTAAAGTAGAAAGAAAACATTTTATGAAATATTTTTTTATTATTCATTCAAAAACAACAAATTTTAATCTGTAAAATATTTGCATTGCATATGAGCGGGTTTTTAATGATTCATTAGCATTTCTCTACACTGCTATACATACGCAATAATTTACTTTCAATTAATACAAAAATAAAACTCAATTAAATGAATTTAATCAAATTCTGTTTTTTTTTTCATTAATTTTTATTTTTAGTAATGTTTATATTGATAAGGACAAAGCGTCTTTAACGATGTCTACAAACTCTGGGAGTCATTATTGTGCCGTTGTAATTTGACTTAATGCCTCACACTTGTCAACGCCATACAGGCAGCGCGGGAGAGACGTACGCAAACAAGCAGTAAAGATACTTGTATTATAAACTGATATCGCAACTATAGTAACGATAAGTCTTTGCGAAATTATTCGAATACAACACTTGACCAAACTAGAAATACTCCACACAATAAGTTTACTGTAAGGGATTTGAAGTAAGCCGACGCTTGCAGCTCAAAGAGCATCTTCGAATTAACATAGCTTTTGAATATAATTTAGTGTCGTCATCCGCCCGCCATGAATTCTAGCACAAAGCACTTCCTGCACTGCACGCTTCTCATAATTGTGATAATAACCTTCGAAGTATTTTCCGGTGGTATTAAAATCAACGAAGACTCATTTACAGTCCTCGATCCAGTGGCGGCGTATGGACAATTAGGCACAATATTTTTGTACTTATTACGATTTTTAACATTTTTAACGCTGCCCCAGGTATTATTTAATTTTTGTGGACTTGTCTTTTATAATGCTTTTCCTGAAAAAGTGGTGCTTAAAGGTAGTCCGCTGCTCGCGCCCTTTATTTGCATACGAGTAGTTACTCGCGGAGATTTCCCTCAATTAGTGAAAACAAATGTGCTTCGAAATATGAATACTTGTTTAGATACGGGACTAGAAAACTTTTTGATTGAGGTAGTCACAGACAAAGCTGTCAATTTATCACATCACAGGCGCATACGTGAAATAGTCGTACCGAAAGAGTACAAAACGCGTACAGGTGCACTCTTTAAATCACGTGCGCTTCAATATTGTCTGGAAGACAATGTAAACGTTTTAAATGACAATGATTGGATTGTGCATTTAGATGAAGAAACTTTGCTGACTGAGAATGCAGTAAGAGGTATTATCAATTTTGTGCTAGATGGAAAACATCCGTTTGGTCAAGGCTTGATAACTTATGCCAACGAAAATGTGGTAAATTGGTTGACCACCTTGGCAGATAGTTTTCGAGTGTCTGATGATATGGGCAAACTACGTCTACAGTTTAAATTGTTCCACAGGCCACTATTTAGTTGGAAAGGCAGCTATGTAGTGACGCAGGTAAGCTAAGTATCAAATTTTTATAAATTAAGCTTAATTTTAACTAAGATAAGTCTAAACACTAGTCCAGATTTGAATAGATTTGACAATTTTCATATAAATATCAAATATGGATAAGAATATGGATGTTCTTATAACATAAAATGAAGAAAATATAAATACTATATTACTCTTTTATTTTCAGTTAGTTGCAGAACGGCAGGTATCGTTTGATAATGGTATCGATGGGTCTGTTGCGGAAGATTGTTTCTTTGCTATGCGTGCCTTTGCACAAGGCTTTACATTCAATTTCATTGAAGGTGAAATGTATGAAAAATCACCATTTACGCTACTGGATTTTTTACAACAACGCAAGCGCTGGCTACAAGGAATTCTACTGGTGGTTCATTCGAAGATTATACCAATCAAATATAAATTGCTGCTAGGTATAAGTGTTTATTCCTGGGTTACAATGCCACTATCAACATCAAATATTATCTTTGCTGGACTCTATCCAATTCCTTGTCCCAACTTAGTGGACTTTGTGTGCGCATTTATTGCAGCTGTAAATATCTATATGTACGTGTTTGGAGTGATCAAATCATTTTCGCTGTATCGCTTCGGTTTGGTGAAATTCTTGGCGTGTGTGTTAGGTGCTGTTTGCACCATCCCTGTTAACATTGTTATTGAAAATATTGCAGTCATTTGGGGCCTAGTTGGAAAGAAGCATAAATTTTATGTTGTTCAGAAAGACGTAAGGGCACTGGAAACGGTTTAATTGTTAAGATTATACATTTGCATTATTGTTGGCTTATTCTAATGTATATTAAAGCGGTGCAAAATCGCTACTCAATTATTGTTAACATAGAGCTGCAAAACCAAAAAGTGGACGCCCATTTGGAACAAGTGCGCATCCACCTGAGCACATTTACTCTAGTAAGCTCATAACACGTGTGTGAGTTCGATTTTGTGTGTATTGTTTCATAATTTTTGTATTATATTAATGTTAAGTTCGAACGCAATAATTGAAAATGTACTCGTATTACGGTATTTAGGTACCGCTCCTTCGATAAATTATCACATTCATATAGATTGGACACATACTCTCCTGGAGACACCAGACGTTGAACAAAATATCTACGCACATAATACAGCACTTTACTTACATTTATAGCAATGCATACAAACACAAATTATTTATATATATATAGTTAATTATGTAATTTATTAATTATTTAGTGTTAAATATAGTATATAGTGCATATAATTACATACTTTTAAGGTATTTGATCCTTAAAATGGTTTTGTTTTTTGTTTTAAACAAATTGGAAAAAAATGGACTTACGAAATAAAAATTCATTTCCTACTTATTAAAGCTTTTTCCGGATTACTTATTTAATTGTTAGGTATTAAACCATAAACAGTACTCAGTATCTGTTTGCTTCAATCTTTAACCATAGGCGGCTGAGAATTAAAAAAAGAAGACTGCGCAATCCGACCTTGTAGTTGTTGGTGAAATTACTTCCCAGTTGGAAACTACCGATCGATCTAAATGTGTGGTGGTCATTGAAGAACTTTTCAAAAACATGTGCAAAATAATTATGACCGATAGGGTACAGTCTTGCAGAGCGTCTTAATCTTTTAAAATCTTTCTCGATTATGCGAGGCAGGTATTGAACATCTAAATATAATGAAATTAATAATAGTTTGAACAGGTTATGATAAATGCAACATCTGTACTGCATATACAATTCCGTTAGATTTTCTGTTACCAATTATAGGTTATATAAGATTATTATTTACTTAAACATATATAAACATATATATATATATATATATATATATATATATCGGAGTCAACATATAAACAATATTCCGTATGTGTCGATCAAAATTATATTACATATATAGATATAATTTTATATATGTATATATATAGTATAATTAAATTTATTGATTAATTGATTTAATTTAAGTATTAATTGAACTCTTTCTTTCTTAATTAAAGCAAATAATGTAGTGGGTGAATAAGCAAAAACCAGCAATTTTATTTGAAATATATAAAATTCTATAGTCAATATTAAATTAAACTTTAAGTATGCATTTAGAAAATATACCTAACAGTCTATGAGATTAGATATGAGGATTAGACGATAAGAATTGGTTTAAAAAAGCATGTATAAAAAAATTATGGTATAAATCCACCCTTGAGGGTAGAGTTTTAAGTTTTACAGGAAAGTAAATATGTAATATAGAACTAAATGACATTGGCTTAGTAAGTTAGCTTTTGGCTGTAGAATGGAATATAATAGAAATAAACAGTGTACCAGCTTGAATGGAAGCCAGAATGTCAGCCGTTGAGGACATCCTAATATCAAAAAGGGAGAGTAGTTCTCGACTCAGTGAACTCCTTGTGGTACAGATCAAGGCTGGGAAGTCAAAAATAATGTGACTGGAAGTCTTGTCTGCTTCTAGGTAGAGTCGACAATCTATCTCTTTAGAGAAATCCATTTTGTGAAGGTAATAACGCAGTCCATGGTGACCCGTTAAATATCCCACCAGCAACCTTAACTCTGTTCTGCTGAAGATGGATAACTTACCATAACTATATGAACAAACCAGCTCTATAGCATGACGGTTATCTGCGGCAGTAGCGACTTCTCTCGGATGAAAACCATTATCAATCAGAGACCATTAATCAATTGTAGATCAACTTAATCCACAATATGGCTCCGGTCCTCAGAGTTGAATGGCGGATCCTGTCGCAAGACTGTCTGTCATTAGCATTGATTATTGTGTGACCAGTCACCCAGCAAAACATCACTTTGTTTTTGCTTGCCACCTGCTTCAGCGTGTCATAGTAGTCTAACAGAAGCATTGAGGAAAACTTCCAGCAGGATAATGCCTTGATTGCTACTGGAATATCTGAGTAAATACAGATACGGACGCCTTTCAGCCCATTGTTAAGGTTGATACGTGAACCTCCGCTTGGAAGACAGTGGGCCATATACCCAACGCTAACGAGATTCTAGTGTTAGGACCAAATACCCCTGTACCAACTCCTCCTTTAGTTTTTAGATCATGAATGATGACTTCGAATTTTCTACCGAAGCGAAGTTCCATGTCTGAACTAGTCTGTAGATAGAGTTTAGACTGTCAAGACTTCCGTGCATATTGATAACAGGGTGTAGCCTACCTGCACTCAAAACTGATGTCTTTTTAATAAAGAACTCCAGTGCTATTGTGGGACAAACTCGAATAGTTCCCGTCATAGCGACAAATGCAAGTCTTTACAGTTTATTGCATTTGAATATTACAGCATTTTGGTGTGCCTCACTCCACCAAACAAAAGTTGCATAGGATACAATGTGTCTGACCATTGTGCAGTAGAGCCATAATAGAATTCTAGAACTTAGGTTTCAGGTTCCACCATATAAGTTCCTGTACGTCCACATGACTCAGGTGGCTTTGCCAATTATATTATTCTGGTGAGTGTTCCCATCAAGACGCTTATGTAGGGTAACATCAAATATTTGACTTATTCGGAGCATTCAACAGCCGTTTTTTTTTATAGATAGGAACTCGATATTCAGTTTATACCTTCTTGAAAATGGCTTAATTATTGCCTTTATTGGGTTAATACTTAGATCTTCTTTTATACACCAGTTGTGAGACTTTGTATAAGTCCGCCTGCATTACGTGAGTAACTATGGCATCATATTTACCAGAAAAAATGATTGCCATATCATCTGCATAACTTATGGCATTGTAGCCAAATTTCTCTAGTTTACCTGGGACATCATCGACTACCAGCGTCCATAGCAATGGTGAGAGAACGCAACCTTGAGGACAGCCCTGTACAGCACTAATGATGATGGTAGTGCTACCTTATTTGGAAGATATATTCCAGTCTCATAACATCATTTCTATCCACGTTATTGTGCATGCGTCAATATCTTTTCGGGCCAGAGCTCCGGATAAGGATTCATATGGTGTGTTGTTAAAAGCTCCTTCTACATCCAGAAATACACATAAGGCAGATCATATCAGATCAGTAAGAAAGACGTAAGGCCAATGGGTCTGTAGGACTTTGGTTGGTCAATAATTTTATTACCAAGTTTGGGAATAAAGATTACGTTCATTCCTCTCCGCATATTCCTGACATGTGAAATGAGAGCAGTAACTTCCCTGTTTGATTGTAATATTGTTGCTCCGGTTACAGAACCAGAGAAGTAACTTTGCAAAGGAAACCCGAGGGTGTCTTTACAACCAGTGGTAAAGGGTAGTCTAGTTGCTTCCAGCAACTTCTCAATACTACCACAATGGCTACGCTAGCTAGTCCGTTTGAACTGTCTGATTGATTTGTTGTAGTGAGTGAGTGCAACTCTATATTCTTCCCACCTACCAGAGCGTTTTGCCCTACTGAATAAGCTCCTTACTCCGTATTTCTGAAATACATTTTAAAATCCTGATGCAATTAATACAATAATTTTCTCCTAATAAAAATATATAAATGGTTGTATAAAAATTTCTTCTTTAACGTTAAGTCAGTTTTAATAAAGAAACATCATTACTCAAATTTCTTTGAGTGTAATTCTGTTAGAAAGCAGTTTTTCTTTATTGTGAATTGATGCGGAACTATATTAAATCTCTATTGTAAACAGATACGCGAATTTTGAGAGAATTTGTATTTGCATTTCTTTCGTCTTCATAATATTGTTTATGTGTTTATGTGTTTATGCTTTCCTATTTTTTTCAACAATGCAAAAGTTGAAGTATTATTGAAGTTAATCATTGTTATCAATGCTAAAAATATCGAGCAATGGTGGCTTACGAGGAAATCGCACGCTCAAAATACAAAAGGTTCGCTATTATTTATTATATTTTTCCAATAACATGAATAATTTTTAATTTAATTAAATGACGCAGTAATTGGCTGCTGTTACTTGTGTTAGCTTCCCAGGTCTTAATATGTGTATTTACTTTGTTTGTTGTGTATGACCAATTTGTTAAAGAAAAGAACTTGGAAGATGTACTAGAAGATGTGATAGAAAATGTCAATAGGAGTGTAGACGCTTCACAGTATCGTATGGTATGTTATTATACCACTCCAAATTCAGATGAAAAAGATTATTTACGTTTGGTTGATATAAAAAAAAATCTTTGTTCACACGTCAACATAGGAATCGTAAATGTTAAAAACTCTACATTAATTTTGTCATCAAACTTTATACGTTTACTTAACGAAGAGCTTGCTACTTTACGAGTTACTGATCCTTCATTAAAAATTCTGTTATGGGTGGGTGGTGGAGGTTATGCAGAGGAAGGTTTCGCATCAATGGTTCGAAACCATAGTTCGCGTAAGATATTTATAAGGTCTTTAAAAGAGGTTTTGCATAAATATAAACTTGACGGAGTTGACTTAGATTGGGAGTTTCCTCGCGCCTATAATAAGCAAAGGCAGCATTTTTCCCAACTTTTAAGAGAAATCAAGCAAGAATATATACGCGAACGGAAAGACTATTTGTTGTCAGTGGCAGTTGCGGCACCTGAAGGAATTGCTCTGTTTGCCTACGATGTGAAAGAGCTGAACTCCTACGCAGACTTTGTCAATTTGATGTCTTACGATTATCACTTTTATACGCAAGAAACTCCGTTTACCGGTAAGTATGGTCAATTTTTTTTGTATTCATTTTCAAGTAATTTAATATTACAAATTAAAGGTTTGAATGCTCCACTTTATGCACGCAAGAATGAACGCTCTATTATGGGAACTTTTAATATTAATTATTCTGTGAATTGGTGGTTAACAAATGGCCTTGATCGTCAGAAATTAGTTGTAGGTTTACCAACCTATGGTCACTCCTTCACGTAAGTTTTTTTTTATTGCAAAAAAGAAAAAAAAATAATTGTTTTGTTGATTTAGACTTGTAAATCCGTTTAACAATAAAATCGGTGCTCCGGCATCACATTTTGGGCAGTGTGGAAATTTGGGTTTTACGACTTACTTTGAAACGTGCGTTTTTGAAATGAAAAATGTTATTAAACATTTTTATGATGAAGATACTTGTTCTCCTTACATAAATAGTGGTGCGGAATGGATTTCATATGAAAATGAACGGAGTTTACAATGTAAGACTGATTATATAAAATCGATGAAACTTGGGGGTGCTATGATATTTTCATTAAATTCCGATGATTACAAAAATGTATGTTATATTATTGAACATAATCAGAACACCAAATTTCCTCTAATAGAAGCTGTTAAAAATAATTTGTATCAAAAGGTTTGATAAAAACGTATTTAATATGGAGTAGTGCTTAGAAAAATGAAAATATAATCAAAATATATCAAATTTAAGCATACCGATATAATGCTTCATTTGAATCAGAATTCATGTTATATTGCCCTATTATTATAAACAACTGGATTACAAATCGATTTTAATGTTTTAATCAATACTTTAACATTCGTATGTTATAAATAAGAAAAAGTTATTGTATGTTAAACTTTTTAGATTTGATTATATGTTACACTAATTATATGTTGTGAAGTTTAAAAGCCAAAGAGTAATTAAATAAGCTATATATATATAACGTCGTAAATAGTGAAATCTTTTACATATTATACGCAAAAAATTTTCATATTTTTATTTAGTCCAAGATACTTTTGGGATGTCAAAGTGCTCTGTTAATGTGTCCAAATGTTCATTGAATTTCTCTACACGTTCCTTGTGGGTAGTGGACGCTCTTTCCATTATACGTTTGTTACGCTGTGAATATGCCATATAATTTAACCATTAAATTAAAACTTCAATTTAAAACTTTACCATTTTTTCCTGCTGTTGTTTAAATGCTTTCTCAGCTTTAGTTAACTTACGTTCCGCTCCTTCTAGGTTTCCACTCTTTTTTTCAGTTTCTTTCAAATATTCCTTAGCAGTGTTATGTAGAGCTTCCACTTTCTTTTCTTTGTCTTTAGACTTCTTTTTCTTTTTTTTTAACTGCGAATCATTTTTTAACTTTAGTTTGCTTTTTGAAACTACACTGTATTCGTCAGACATAATTTTTGTTTTTAATTGAAAATAGTGTTTAGTATATTTTCACTTTTTAAAACATATGATTGTCAAAATAAAACATTTCTGACTACCAAAAATCTGGAACAAGTTAGTATGGCACAAGGTACAAAATGGAATTAAAACATTTCCTGCAAAAAAATTTCTGTATGTTATTATTTTGAATATGTTATTCATAAGTAAAAAAACCCCCTTCAAAATGTTTGGTATAAATAGGATAGTATTACTACTATGTTTATAATTTAATTAAACTTTAAATTACAAATTCTTAACATAACTTATTCAAAACAAGACAACACAACCTCCTGAAAGATATAATATAGCCTATTCACACAGCATAATTAATTGTAATTACATTCTTTCAGTTTAGTGCGTTAAAAATCCACAAATCTTAATTTTTTGTAATTTTTTTGGAGTTGCACTCACGTATGCTGAATTAGTTGTACCATTAGCAATCAGTTGACTCGTTTTATCAAATTGAAATAAATGTATTCGATTATTTATACCGATGTATAAGTAGGAGAAAACATAAAAATCAATTGAGTTTTGATAGCAAAATGTTTATATTAGATTCATTAAGCAATTACTGTGCTATTCTTTGGTGATCCAATTAAACTTGCTTGCTTGTGTGTATTCTGTTTCAAATGATCACTTTTATTGCGTTCTGCTGTTTAAATTTTCACAATTTATACCCTCTATGTCAACTAATTTAGCCTTAAATCAAAATGCAGAATGTTGCAGCAATATTCTGAACATTTTCCCAATCTTTGTCATTTCATTCGAGTTAAGTGTTTGCGTAAATAAAAAAACTTAACAATTAGAAGATTGTCAGAAAAATATATTTTTCGAAAAAACAAAGTCAAATTGAATACATGTCAGTAAGTAAAATCTAATATAAAAAATAATACACATAATAAATTAGGTAAAATTACAATATGTTTAGACTATGTATTTAGAGCAAGTCAACATTTTTGAATGTTAAATGCAAAAAAAATTAAGCCTTAATACCAATTTCATATTGTCATATGCATACTAACTATATACATGTTATTTATAACAGAATATCAAAATATGGCATAACATGACTACTCTCCACATTACACAGATATGTATTGAGAAATGGCAATGCATCACTAATGTCTGGTAAAGACTGGGGAATACACATACAAAGCAACATTCACAATAGTTTGACAAGCATTTCATCCTTTACACATAAAACTTTTGCTGATATTTAACTAAAGTACCGACGTTATCAATATTTGATACGTGTAATGTAAATAAAATTAATACGATATTAAAAAACAAAAGAGTTAGTGAGCAAAAATACGTGATAATGTCATCGGCTACGGTAAGAAATGTATGTTTTTTTTTCATTCTTTACTTTGCACCCTCTTAGGTGTTTTGTTGTGCTTGTTTAATTTAATTTATATGTAAATAAATATAATATTTGTAAGTAAAATAAGTTTTGATAAAAATTAGTATATATATAACCGGCAGGTGCCACTACTTGATGATGATACGATACCTTTTGGTGAAGAGACTGAAATGCAAGATCCAAATGTTGCAACGAAGAAATATACGTGAGTAGCGAAATAAAGTTCAGACATGGAAGTTTTAATCATATTTAAACGGATTTTGCAGGCACCCGTATGTCACCTTCTTTCATTTGTTCTTCCGAGTTGCCGCTATTGTTATTTACATGTTCTGTGGTTGGTTTAGCGATTCATTTATAACAAGTTTCGTTTTTGTTGTGCTATTTTTGTCTGCGGATTTTTGGACTGTCAAAAATATTACAGGGAGGCTTTTGGTAGGCTTAAGATGGTGGAACTACGTAGACGAGGAAGGTATCTCACATTGGGTATTTGAGTCAAAAAAGGTACCACACACTGATGTTTACTTTATATTTTAAACATATTTATTTACTTTCAGTCTAAAATTAATAATAATGAGGCACGATTGTTTTGGTTAGGCTTAATAATGTGCCCCGTGTTCTGGAGCTTGTTTTTTATTATTGCTTTATTCGGATTAAAGTTTAAGTGGCTTTTACTCGTAATGATAGCATTAGCACTTAATGGTGCAAATTTGTACGGGTATGTGAAGTGTAATTTTGGGGCAAGTAAAGATCTCAATTCAGCAGCAAGCGACTTCGTGAAAACACAAATTTTTAAAAACGCAGTCAACATAATTACAAAACCCAACCCTCAACCGACTACAGCAAGTGCAACTAATGTGGTTTAAAAGTTGATTACAGCAATTTACGTTATTAGTATATTATGTATATACATTAAAAACTATTACCTATTTTTTTAGTATTAATTTTTAAATAATATAAGAGTTTCATTAGAAAAAGTTGTTTTCTTCTCGTGCAATAGAGAAATGCCTAGATGAAAGAAGAAGAATAACCTTTCATTCAATTGCAAAAATACACGTTTTATTAAAAGTAGAAGCAACAAACATGAATTTTGGTCATTTTGCATTTTAAAACCAAATAACGCCATTAATATTTATTATAAATCGTTTAACAATTGCGTGACTATAGAACAATTTTTTTTATATAAGCTGATTTTAAGCTTATATAATAAATAAGAAACTTAAATTATACCAACAATTTTATACTTATAGGTAAGGACTATTTAGACAATCATTAATAACGCATAGATATCATGTTTTACTTTGGGGTTGCGCAAGTAGCTCATCGATTTGAGTCTTATACGCCTCTTTTAACTCAATTAAGTCTAATTCTAATTCCTCAGTACGTTCCACTTTCTCTCCATACATTTGGAGTAGTGCATCATATCGATGTTGCAAGTCATTGAAGTTCTTGTCTAGTTGCTCAAACGGTTGAAGCTTTTCTTTAAGCTGAAATTGTAAATTGAACTATACTAGTCATAAATTATATATTTCTTTCCGCTTACATTTTCTAGTTCCATTGTCAGATGTGTTATTTCGTCATTTAAAACACTGCGCTCTGCTTGTAGTCGTGATAACTCCCATTGTAAATGATTTAATTCACCATCTCGCTGTTTTAGCATGGATTGTAAATGCTCCAAAGTAGAAGTATTATTTCCCATTAGATTCAAGTTCATTCCAAGTATACTTGTCGTACCATATCGAACTCCTGAATTTGAAATACAATCGAAATCATCCTAAAATAAGTCCATAATGCCATAGTTTTTATAAGAGAAATCTTTTATTGTAAGAAAAAAAAATTATTTTATTGCAAAACTTACAGTTTGACCATCATTGCCTACACCAAGAACTTCTTCAACAGAATTTGCACCAAAGCTGGTGGTAGGAGATTGCGACCTTTGTTGCTCAACTGATCGAGAAAACTCAGTATATGTGTTTGTTGAAAAGTCTCTTTGATTAATGTTGTCCAAACTTGCACTATGTTGAACTTTTATTTCTTTTAGTGTTTCTAACTTCTGCTCGAGATTTCGATTTGATTCCTCTAGCAACTTTTTTTTGTCTTCACAATCTGTTACGGTATCCTTTAATTTTATAATTTCCCTGAAAAAATATTTTTTTCATATGATATGAATTAAATTAGTTTATGTTTATACTTATTAATTTGCGTTTCCTTCATACTGTACTCCATTTGAGCCTGATGCAAGGAGATTTTTGATCTTTCTTCCTGTAACAACGCATTCGAAAGTTTTTCTTCTAATTCTAAGCAACGTGTTTGTAGCATGTCTTGTTTCTCTTTAAATGTGCTTTCGACATTTTTAAGCGACTTTAGACGTGCTTGCGCAGCATCTGGAAAATTAATTGATGAAATTACCATATTTGAATATTAAATCCATAACTTTATCTTTTGTAACTTACTAAGTTTATCCATAAGCGATTTTTCTTCCTTATTCCAATTGGATGTACGTTGAGTTAAGGTATTTTGTAGAGATTCCAATTGTCGTATAAGGGGAATGGTCGTTAAACTGACTTCTTGCGTTGAGGTCTCAGCACGTAATTCTGCTGCTTCTAATCGGTTAAGTAGCTCCTTATTTTCTTCCATTAGCTGCTGTTCTCGTCGTGCAAGTGTCTTCTCATAAAAACGTAACTTTTCCCGTGTTTCATTAAGTTGCTGAACTAGTTCTTCGTTTTCCGATTTCATTTCCTCTAGTTCTTTTTTGGCAACCAGCATTTCTTCCGATTTGAAAGCCCGTTGTTGCATTTCGATCTTAACCGCTTCAAAATTTGTTTGTACTGTTAAAATTTTGGATTGGAGATCTTCGTTTTTGCTGCGCAGTAGTGCGTTTTCTTCATCTAATCTGCGTTTTTCCGACGACATTTTGTGCACTGCTTCAATCTGTATACGTTCTTGGTCTTCTTTTGCATTTAATGTTTTCTTTAAACGCTCCAGCTCATCGGTAAAGCTCTCGATTTGCTCTTTATTCTTCTTCAGCAAGTTATCGCTGGTTTTTTCTTTAGTGCGCAATTTTTTGATAATATTTGACTGTTGAAGTATCTCCTTAGACAGCTTTTCACCTAAAAAATATTGTGTTGTTTTATTATTTCGTTCGATGGATAAGTATTACGTATTACGTATTACGTAATGGAGATAATCTTACCTTCCAAACGCAGTTCATTAATCATGGTATTATTTTCGTTAACAATTTGTGTAAGATCATTTTTTGGTATTTTGTTATGAAGTTCGTCTTTAAGAGTTTTGATTTGTGTGCGCAATGTATCGCGTTCTCGTATGCTTGCTTGAAATTTCTTCTCTAAAGCAGATAGCCGTTGAGTGTACTCCTCTGAAGATTCTAAGCAGTTACTGTTATTTTTAAGTGCATCTAAAGTTACTTGCAGTTCATTATTTCGTTCTTGTAATGCCGAGTTCTGACGTTCGGATTCTAAAAGCCGTAGTTCACGCAATTCTAACACCTCATTTAGTTCACTTATACGCTGTGATAATTTATCAACTTCCGATTGTGAGTCTTCTGAGAGAATTGAAATTTCAGATGGTTCTCGACAATGACCTTTTCTAGGCTTGTTGGCTGTAGAATGTGAAGTCATGGAATTTTTTTCGAATTTTTTCAGTTTTAGAGGTGTCGTACTATTGGTGCTTGATGAGTCACCATTAGGATTTGATATGATTTCAATATCAGAAGATGTTGTCGTTTCCATTTCATCGTTCGAATTGGAGCAACTAGTTGGAAATGCTAATTTATTCAAGTCACGGTTATCATCTGTGGAGTCGGAAAGTATATCTTTATTTGCATTTTTCAAAATAGATGTCTGTAATTGAATGTCTTCAAAACTTTGGGTAGAGTCTGAATCAATAGTTTGAGTTTCTTCAGTAAAACTTTTTAAAGTATTCGTTGAAAGATTGCACAATCCAGATGATGTGGGTAAATTTTTAGTATCTAGTATTTCTAACAAACAAATAAGTAAATGAAATGTAAGTAATCATATAACGACTTCATACCTATTCCAGTAGAACTATCAGGGCATGGTGTTAGAGTAGTTTCCATAACTGTGTCATAAGACATAGAATCATCTTCTTCATCTGCAGCATCATGACTAGCAATTATGACAATGCTATCATTTAAGGAGTCTCGATTTGAATCTGGGCTAGTAATATCACCTGATGGTGATGCAGTTATTAACTCTATGGATTCGGATGTATTTATTGCAGTGTCTGTATTTGAAAGTAATTCTGAACATGGTGATGAAGGTGTAAGTAATTCCACGGAATCCGAATTTGACGTAACCGACTGCCTTTTAGTCACATTTGTAATTAAGGTCGTTGAAAGTGGATTGCTTTCTACACCCATTTTTGGTGCTTCAGTAATCATTTCATTACTTGTTTTCGGATTATCAAAAAATGAACCTGTGAAAGAACCCCATGTTGAAGTAGTATTTTCCTCTACTGTAGGTGTGTTTGGATCCGTTTTGCACTTCTTTTCACGATTAGCACCCCCTGGAGTTCGCTTTGCAACTGCCCGTTTTCCACTGGTATCCTCAGTTGTTGTCGAGACATTCTCTTGTATATCAAGTGCTTTGTCAATCTGTTTCTGGGCTTCTAAAAGAACTTTAAGACCTTTATCAAACCAACTCATGGTTTACCTTATTTTAACTGTTATCTTCGTTTCAAAGTGAACTTATAATTTTTTTCATAATTTTGAAATTATTTTTTACACATTAACACTAAATATAAAATTAATTCAATTATTTACACGTATTTACTATTTTGGAAATGTTAGTTTACTTTTTGTTTTCTTATGAAAAAAAAGGTATTCACAATAGAATTTAAAAATGCGAATTATTTGCGAGTTTATAAAAAATAACTTATTACACTGAAGGTTTTTTGCTTATCATTATTTTTAATTATTTATATTTTATGTAATATAAAATTAAAACTGAATGTAAATTTTAAAATGATTGCTTATCTTACATATATTTTTTATTGAATAAATCTGCATGATAAAATAATTCCTTTTTACCACACCTTATTTCCTTATTTAATGCATAATCGCATCCATTAATAAGTTTATGTAGATGTGTTTGGCTTTTAATACAATAGCTCCACAGTAATTTAGTTGTTCACATTGTGTTTAATCTGGAAATAATAAGTTGAACAATTACCTAATATACACGTCATTCCTTATAAATGTAATGCATATTTTTATTTAATGATAATATTGTTATAAATTGAAAGTAATAGGAAACATCGATTTAAATTGGAAATTGTACCAGCTTTATTATTTATTAATTTGCATTATGTTGCACATATTTTTATTTTGCATTTTGTATACAAACATTTTGATGTTCTACATATTCCTAATTCTCAATAATATTATTGGGTGAGTTTATTGTGAATATTTTTACACATCCGATGCAAAACGAAACAATATATAGTTGAAACGTTTAGTAGAAATTATTAACAAAAATAAAATAATATTTTTAAAGAATTCTGCCCACCGAATAAAATTACAATCGTTTTTGTTTTGTGTGAAGTTTTGACTCGAAAAATATTCTATGTAATTCACAATAGTAATACAGCTGATTAAATAAATAAAAATTTTACACTGTATAAGTTTAGTTATAAAGTTTGCCGCAATTTAAACATAGCTCCAGTGGCGCAATTGGTTAGCGCACGGTACTTATAAACAGTATACGTTGTTGAGCAATGCCGGGGTTGTGAGTTCGAGCCTCACCTGGAGCATGGTCTTTTTTTTAATTTTATTATAAAAAATAAGCGAATCAAAAAAAAATAGGGTTTCTATTCTAGATATTCTTAACGAATTCGAAAACTTTTATGTATGGTTACATTAAATGAAAAGTTTATTATGAGGAAGTAACTTTTCATAAGTTCGTTAGTTTTTGTTATTGGTACCGATTTTATCTTTATCGGCTTGATACTAAAATTTTAATTAAAAAAAAAAAAAAAAACAAAAAACGGACAAAATAAAATTGGAAATGAGAAAATTAATGTAATTTTTTATATATTCAATAATATTTACGTAAACAATACTAAACAAATTAAGTTCAAAATGGATTCTATTTTGATTCATATATATAAAATTTAAATTCAATAAATTTTGGCTTATGGGCTAATATAAATTTTTCGATTCGAATTATAATATTTATTTTATTGTTTTTAAGTTTGGCGAAAAAGATATAAATTATAGCATAAATTTTAATTGATTTAAATTAAAAACATAATGTCGCTAGTCGTTTGGAAAGTTTTGAATTTAGATTACCCACAAAAACGGTTAAATTGTAAAAATTTGAATGAGGTGAAATTAAAACTGTAATGAAATGAAAAGGCCATATTCATCGAAGAGGAAGCTTATATTGTTCTAGACATAAACAAATTTTAAAATATTTCCTTAACCAGGGCTTCAATCGACCCTATGCGCGGCTTTTTCAATTTCTCCCGAATTATAAACTTGCAAACACATGAAAGTCATACGATTGCAAAGCATGCTAACAACACATCAATTAAAAAGGTTATCACCTGACTGGCTAAATGACGGTGATACTTTCTGAAAAGTGTGTTGATTGATTGATTGATATCTAAATTTAAACATTTCGACAACTTTGAAACTGGTATGTGTCAACCGATTTGGATTCCTACTCCCAAAGGAGTTGCCGTTCTCTATTTTTACACCCAAGGCGTCCAACCTTCGTAAAGAAGAGCTAAATTATCACGGTTCATGGCGTCTTGTATAATGTAATCAACTTGTTCGGCTACTGTGTTGCGTTTGTTGGAGTCCGGATCGCGACCCTCAAGTTTGGCACGTACTTTTCTCCAAACGGCTACCGCATGCACATTCAGTTTTTGTTCGGCTTGGTTATAATCTGAAGTGAAAATAAAGTGAAGTTAAAATAAATTACAATGAAAAAAGAGTAAGTAAAATTTTCTTATTTACTTTTCTTATCCGAAGTATTAGGGCTATGGTTTTCATTTTTATAAATATCGGAATTTGGATTCTCTCCTTGGATTGCGGTGGACAGTATCAATTCCTCATCGTACAGAAATTTCTGGAGTAGTTGTATGAATTCGTTATGATTCTGTTCGACGGCGGTTAATAGCTCTGACACTGATTTCTTAATTTCATAAAGGGCATCAGAAGAGTATTCCGCAGCGCCAAGGTTTACTTGCAGTTCACTCACTTTGGTATAGAATTGTTTGAATGTTTGATGCAGTTGCCGTGCGACAGTCGCTATTTCAGTTACTTCAATTTTACCATTTTTGTTATACTTCTCGTTTTTGGAAATTGATCGCAGCAACTGTCGCATTTCTAGCCGAACTGAAGTTTCAAACAAAGACTGAAAATAAATTTTATTTTTATGTCCCGCTTACATTTTTCTATTGTTTGAACAAATATGTACTTACCTGCAATTGTTCAGATTGTACCAGGAATATTGATTTAATTTTTTCTTCCTCTTGTTCCAAGCTATCTAATTTTCGGTGCACCCCAAAACTCATTTCATCAAGTAGGCCAAGCACGTTCTTGATCCAATTCTGATCTACTTTACCTTCTGGATCAAGCAACTCAACGATTCGAACTTCCGTTGGTGTTATAACAGCCTCACTACGATTACTCTTAATATACACTTCTTCCCACTCATCCAATGTACTAGATAGTTCTTTATTTGTTGTACTTGCATTGTGATTCTGTTCAAATTCCAAAACTACATTAACATAACCCTTCAATGTCGTCGTCATTTGTTCATAAAATTGAAAACGACTGTTCTGAAGTTCAATTCCATCCAAAAATGCAGTTTTCATTTCTTCATTATTAATTAAATGAACAATGCTATTTCTATACTTTACAAGAGATCGTTGAAGATCTGATACTTCATTGTTTCCAGTCATTAAGCGTTCTTTGGTTTCCTGTAGTGAATCTATTAAATTTCCTTTAACTATGACGTTTTTGACCGCTACCTTGGGATTACTTAGAACTTCTAGATTAGCCCAATAGTATGCACTTTCAACCAGAGTGTAGTGATTTATACATGTTTTTAGTTGTAATATCCGCATTTGGAAGTTTTTGTGATTGGCCTTGTATTTGAGCGCCACAAACAAATTTCGGCAAAGTTCTTCCGCTTGAGCTAATGACGTTTTCTCTATACCTTCCAAATTGTATCGAACAAAACTTTTAAGATCATTATATAAGGAATGTGTGAATAAAGGCGCAAGTCCACTAATAATTGAATTCTCTAAGTGATCTACATAATCTGTTACAATCTTCGTTATTTCTCTAATATCGTAAACATTTTGAGATCTAAAACTTCTCAGTGAGGTGACGTGATTACGAATTGTAGAGAAGATTTGTGATATCAGTTCACTTCTGGTAATCGTACTAATAACATTGACGGCACTGCTGAAAGTCCTCATTTGCTGCAATATTTAAATGTTTCGAAAATATATTTATAAGAATGCAATTATCTTTTAATGTGATATATAACATATGTATATAAATAAAGACTTTGATTTGGTTTATCAGTTAGAGTAAAATAAACATTATTCATATAAATTAAAATAAAAAAAAAAAATAATTGAAAATATACATAGCTATGGATTTCGTTTTAACCGGTTCCTTGAAACGATATAATAAAATAATTTATTATTGTGCATTAGGCTAGGTTAGGTTTTGAGTATTGGCATTGTAGTAGAGCCTTGTACCTAATTGAGCATAAATAATATCCCGTTGAATACCACGGCTTATATATATTAAACAAATAAATAATTCTAAATAAATGTGGAATAAATAAATTTCACAAATTTCACTGACTTACGCACCACGAATTGTTTATATTTGCAATCTTCCATTTTATCCAAAATATTTTGTCTGATACGTTTTAGCTGTTTAAATTCACTTTCAAATCTGTCAAAAATTGAATTTATTTCTGCCAAAAGCGTAAACAGTTCATCAGTCAATCGACTTCTACGACTTTTACAAAATTCAGCCAAGCTACTTGGAGTACTACACATAATATCCAGGCATTTTTGTAGATTAACATCATTATCGACTACAAACAGCCATATGATTCGTTCTGTTATATCCAATAAGAATGCCGATTTCAATGTGTGTAGAGCTTGTAGAGTAGAAAGCAATTTATGAAGTGGTATTAGATTAGGTTGATTATCCTCATAGAAAATAGATTGGCAAAGTGTAAGATAAATATTGATATGATCGATTTGCTGATCCAACAAATAGGGATCTTTTTTAATGATCGCCTCCTCTTCAACTTGCAGGAATGTACTGTTTCCCTTAGACAGTATATCCAACATTGACAGTTGCAAAATTTGAAGGTGTTGTTTTTTGATAGATATGAAGTCACGAATTGCGTTATCGGCAACTTCAACAGTTATGAACTGTAATTAACGATATTTTCAAATAAAATATTACAAATCAATTCTACGAGATATTAACTCACCTTCTTCTGCTTGTGAGAGTTGAAATGTTTAACCGCAGCAGATAATTCGCCATTGAGCTGTTCCCATATATTGTCCATAGCATGCGAATATTTTCGTATAGAATCTATGATAGCAGCATCCTGTGTGTGTTTAAATTTTTTCAAGTCGTCTATGTACTGCTTTAAAGATTCGGTTAACTTATTTTGTTCCAACAGCTCTTGATAAATCTGTTCAGTTTGTACAAGACGATGCTGTTGCAATTGTGTACGTGAATAAAACTGCATAATGCTAGTGTATTGTACCAATGCATCCAGGCAGTCATGGGCGACACCGGTTAGCTTCGTATATGCTGAATCCATTTCTGCTCGTGTCCTTTTTGCACCAGTGTCAAGATCAGCATGTTGAGGATTTTGCTTAAGCATTTCATACACAGTATCAAACTCACTGATATACATTGCTTTCGGCTGATCTGAGATTTGCAACTGTAAGTATTTAAGCTTTTGATGAGCTGTTGTACTTGTCAAGTCATCGAAATAAACAGAGAGTAACTTTTTGATGCGGTTATTATCCTCTTCGATTTTTTGTTTAACGTTGGAGAATTCAACGGCGTTTCTTTTAAACGACTGGTACCGTTGGGAGATGGTATTGAATGCATGACTACTCATTGCACTCCCTAATGCTTCTAACTCGTGTATTTTGGCTAATTGCTTGCTAAGCGCAGTGCGTTCTTTCTCTGCTTGCTGATATATCTCACGATGCTTGATAAATTGTTCAGTTTCATTATCAATACTCATTAATTTAGAAATTATTTCATTCCTAGAATGAGAAGAGTATATTTATTTATTAAATCTTGACAATTAATTTATATTTAACAAATGTGTACTTGTATTTCTCCCAGCGCGGCTTGATATCTTTATATTTCTTATCGATAGTTTGGCGAGTTAAGCCTAAATGATGTTTCCTAATCATAAAATCGTCAGGCTTGTGTGCTTTCAATATACTCTTACGTGCTTCTTCTGTAGATGCCTGTTGAATTGATATACTCAATGCTGCTTCATGTGCAGTAGTAGCTCGGTTTGAAGTAACACCATCCTCACCAACTGTCCAATCCACTAACGGATCGTAGACAAATGCCTCCAAAAGAGTTAAAAGGGTTTCCTTCTCTTTACGCAGTGTTTTCATCACATACTCACAGCCTAGTCGGAATGCACCCTGCAAAGAAAATTGTTATAAATTGTGTACTTTATCTTCTTTTTATCTATTCAAAATTCAAAAGTATATATTCAATATATAGTCACGAGCCTCACAGAGATTTCTCAATTTTATGTTTCAAATTTTATGACAAAATAAATTTACAAGTTTATTATTTTATTTCGTTTGCCGCTTTATTGTCCTGTTGCTATTGCTTATCTTAAACTAAAATAAATTTATAAAAATAGATGCAGCGATTTTTATGCTTGATATACTGAAGTGTAATAAGTTAACGTTATGGATAAAAACAGAAAACAGATATCCACAAAAAGATGATAAGTACCGAAATCAATACTATTAACCCTTTAGTATTATTTTATAAAGAAATATAATAAAGATTTGGTACAATTCGATATTAAACAGAAACTGTCTTAAATGTAAATAAAAAATATTGAAAGTTTTTATTTATTTACTGTACCTTCAGATACTGTTTCAGGCTAATAATTACTAAAAAAAAAACCCGCTCCTTCCATAACTGTAACAGAAATATTGAATAGGTATTTTCAAGTTGAAATATATCTGGGTACGTGCATGGTACTAATGCATAAATGAAGCGAAATACTTAGGTGGGTTATATTATATTATATTGATGAAGAAATAATAAACAATTAGGTAAATTTAATACTGTAATTTATTGAGAAAATTGAGCTTAGAGAAATACTCTTCATTCTTCGTGATTAAGAACGAGCAACAGATTTTTAAGTACCAGAGCGCTATCCCCTAACTTAATTATAACATATGAAAATTAGTATAAGAAATTCATTGAGAGATTCATTTATTAAGAATGGAGCCAGCTACAATTTCTAAATATCAGTATCGTGAACTTATTGAATCCTATAAAATATAGGTATATACTAACATGTAACTGAAAAAACAATCCAAAGAGGTAGGAATGGTAGATGGTATTTTCAGAAAGTGCACTTTGACTGGTATAACTGTATTTATTATAACTCTAAAAATCTACATTACTTTTATTGAATTAGATTTTGTTATATATATCAGATAATACTATATTAAGTTGACTCTAGATGATGGGGTTAAAGCTCCTATCAATCCCACCTTAATTTAACTAACAATAAATATGTATAAATACGATGGCTGATAAATATTTTTGTGTAAATAACTTTAATAAGAAATTTTTTATTCGCACATCTGGTATTAGTCGACAGTTTTGGGTGTACAACTTTATCACTTGTTTACGTATCTTAAGCGAATTTTTATCAGTAATCATTGGGTGGTATGCAGGCCACAATATTAACCGCCACACACAAATAAAAACATGATATGGAGGCAGCGAGATTTTTCCCATATTCTTTGCTCATTATGATTCAGTCGTTTGATGAAACTTATACGTCTCGAAATGAGGCACGCTTCAATCACGAAACTGAAGACTGTGTTAAATATTCTCACCTCTAAAGTATATGGATTCCAAACATTAATTAGTGGAAATCGATCTTGAATATCATAGAAAAGTTTTTGTGGTCGGTAACGTGAACCGTGGAACAATTAAACAGAATTAAAAGATTTTAATTTTATGTGAAACTAAAAATGGAGAACAGTATATCGAACATTTTAAATGAAACTTTTGTGGAAAGCATTGCCAATTTATCAGATAGAGCAGACATTGAACCAACAATCGTTACAAATCTTACAGTCACCGTCATATTGTGGCTTGTCTACAATGGATTTATGTTTATTTTTACGTTGGGAGGAAACATGCTGACCATAATCGCGGTGCGTACATGTCGGCGATTACGTTCTATTATATCAAACACTTTTATCTTGTCTCTGGCAGTATCTGATTTTGTAGTCGGACTGACTTTGCCGTACCATGTTGCCTTTTATTTGGGCTCAGGCTTGGGTACCTCACACGAATTTTGCCTATTACGATTTTTCCTCATCATATTCGCTTGTTGTGTGTCAATACTAACATTAATTACGATTGCCATAGATCGATACATTGCTATCGTTTACCCCCTGCATTATACATGGTGAGTACGTTTAGATTTTTTTAATTTCTGGCGAAAAATGTTTCAAACTAAATTTTCCGTTCAATGGATATATAATAATTTAGTCTTTTAATGCATTTAATAATATCAAAAACATAGGAAGTGGTTTCTAAATCGGAAATATATTTATTTCAATCAAGAGTAATCGAGTAATACGGTAAAATTGTAAAATCTCAACAACAAAATGTAAGTACTCAAATATATATTGCTCTTGTCGCTTTGTGTTGTGCTATGTTATTCGGTTCCCGAGCTAGTTACTCAAGATTGTGAATACTCTCATTGTACTTTCTAAAAATCAAATTATGGAATTTTTAAACAGAAACTATAGGATAACTATAAAATATTAGAACGCATAGAACTAAAGAAACAATGGAAATTGATCAGCTACAATGTATCTACTGTAAGATTAATGATTAATGAATTCATTTAAAGGAAATACAAGATATATTTAGTATTTAGAATACTTTTTCATAGTATATAATATTTTAATAGTTTAAAAAAAAATCAAAGAACACGATTGAAGGTAAAGATAATTAGAAATGATTGGATGAAAAACTTTTTCGAATTATGTCTGCAATATCAGTCTTATTAAAATATCCATGGCATACGAGTATAAGTACCCATTTATATAATTAATATATTTTTGTGAGGAAAGAGAATAACATACTATTATTTTTATTGCTTTAGATTCTAAATTTAGGATCCTGTAATTTCAAAAATCATTTTTTTTTTGACTAGATAGTAGTTTGTTATTTTATGGATATACTAAAACGATATAACAAATTCTATTATGATATTATCTAAAATTCAAAACATCTGTCCATAATATTTTAGTTATTTAGTTCATTTATGTAGAGGAAATCATTTTAATCAATCACTATAAATACTATTGTTTTTAGTTTAATGACTCGTCGTACTGTCATTGTAATTATTTCGTTTAATTGGATTTTGGGTGCGTCTGTAGCAGCTATTCCATTGTTTTGGAATCGTTGGAAAAAGGGACATCAATGTGAATTTGATGAAGTATTGTCAACCTGGTATATTCTTGGGATCCTTACTCCTGGATTCGTACTTATTTGGTTTTTTATGTTAGTGATATATGGACGTATAATGAGTGAGGCATCCAGACAAGCTCAGCACATGCGCGAGCGAAAAAGTATGCAAAGATCAACATCCTTTGTATTAAATGTTGATTTTAAATCAGTACAGGTAAGTGATTTACTACTTTCTTTAATTTTTTTGTAAATTGAATTATTTTTTTAAGGTCGTTTTATTTATTATGGGCTGTTTCTCGTTATGTTGGTTGACTTACTTCATTGTAACTTGTGGTCAAACCATCGGGCTATTCATGACTTCACCATCTTTGTACCGAGTTGCGTTTTCGCTAGCAATAACAAATTCTGGCCTAAATCCTATTATATATGCCTGGAAAAATTCAAACTTTAGAAGAGCCTTTGCACAGTTATTACGCTGCAGAAATCCAAATGAATGTACACACAACACAAATATCAGTTAAAAAGATTTTTTCAACTAAACGAGTTTTCTACTAGATATAAGACTTGTATATATTTTAGGATTAAGACTTAGTTTATATATTAAAAATATTATATATTAAAAATATTATATATTAAAAATATTATATACTAAAAATATTATATATTAAAAATGGAAGACTAAAAACGGCATCGTACTATAAATTGTTTTATTTGTTTTACGAAGTAAATTACTAGAAAACTATTAAATGTTTAAGTAACAAAAAAATACTGAAAAGGAGCTGCAACAGAAATTGAAAGTAGGATTCGTAATGCTTATACTCGTATTAGTAAGAAAAATTACAGGCAAAAATATATTACTTACCTCAATTCCGGTAAGCCCCATAGCTTCTACTAAATTAGGTGTCATGCGAAAGGGAACTTTCTCAGGAACACGTAATGTTTTCCCTTTTTCAAAACATACATTATAGTCAATGTGGACAATTTCTCCGGAACTCAGCTTTATAAGTATGTTATCTAGATGACGATCACCAAGCCCAATGATATATCCAATAACGGACATAACAGCAATGGAATTCACATATTTGCGTACAGTTTTGCGCCAATTTGATGCGTTTTCTGAATAGCACCACAGCTCTTTAGCCAATAAATCTTTAGGAGTTTCTGCCGTAAGATCATCATATACTTGACGTAACGCACTTAGTGGCCATAATTTACGAGCATCTGTTACTTTGAGGTTATGTTCGGCTAAAAGTGGCGTGAGTTTGTTGTAGAATACCTCAGTAGGACGAGTTACCGTTGATGGTGCTGTGTTCCGCTCATTGTTACTGTTCTTTCGTTGTCTTTGTTCTTGTTTAATGGTAGCTTCTCGCTGTTGCCATTTTTTATAAAGTGAAAAAAGTGGAGTCACATCATCGACCCAGCTTATTAAACCAGATTGTGGGCCAAGCGGTATGACAGAGTAGTGCTGTGCTTTATAGCAATTAGTATTGTGCGGATCTTCGATTGAACGTGCCATCATAGAATTCGCAATTGACAAGAATTGCATGATACGTTCATCCAAGTGCAAGTCCTCTAATCCCTTAAAAAGATAAGTGTATTTACGACCGTCACTTCCAAAAAATGCTAATTTTTTGGGTTTCGTTTTAGTGGGAAGTATGTAAACCGTACTGTCAACCGACTTTATATAAACTGGGGTTTTGTCAAAGTTCTCGACACCAGGCATAGATATTTCGGTATCGCACATCTGTGCCAAAACTGGACTAAGGTCTGATATTTTGTATGTAGAAACTATTCCTCTACTAGAACGTTGCTGAAATACAGAATAAAGGTGTTTAATGGCATATTTAATGTCATGTGGCTTATTGATGTTAAAAGGTTTCTTGAGTTCCGCAATTGTGCTCTTAATCAAACCATTGTATTGAGTTTGAAAATTTCGTTCGTAATTCGTTTCTGCTTTTTGTGACGTAACTATGGCAATTTTTTCCAAATCCTTGACCAAATGTATTAAAAGAATTTCGAATTTTGATATCAGCTTCTCTTTTGAATCCACACGCTTTTTTAGTTCAATGTCTAATGAGGTAAACAAGGTAGCATATTCAGAGCAAAGTTGAGTCAGCGCATGCAACCAATATTCTTCCCACAACAATGAGACACGTTTCAATTCCTTAACCAAAAGTTGCACATGTAAAACTGCATTCGGGGTTTGTTTGGAAAGTGTTAGGAGTAGTGAATTAAAGCAATATGATAGCTTAGATGACTGATTTTCACCGTCTTTTAATAACGTTGCACCAATAACAGCATTCTTTGATGTTGTGCTATAATTAATCATTCTCTGTTCTTGCTGAGCACCTACTACAGCGGGAAATATCACTAAGTGTGGACGGCTTTCAGCCAAGCGACATAACAATTCAGAAACGCTTTTGCGGACATATGGTTCATGATGATTCAGTCTACTAAACAATTGCGGAATGATAATCTTCCATGGCTGTAACGGTGTAGCATTAAAACCTTCTTCTAATACTTCTTGCAATCCAATAGCGTGTTTAACTACTAATCGTAATATCCGCAAAGTAGTAGTCACTAAATAACTATCTTCAGCGTAACATTGCTTTGCACAAGAGTCTCTATTTGTAGAGGTAATAGCTAAATATTTAAAGTATGCCTTTGTAGCCATTTCATAGAATACGTAGATACTTTTATGCGCTTGACGCCATATTTTTATAATTTTTAGGATTTGATCTTGTGATTTGTTGATCAGTAAATCAGTTTTCCTTAGCTCATATATCACTGCATCCACTGAACTGATATCATTAGTTTCTATATCTTCAGGACCATTGAATGAATGTGGCTGCATTAAAGAAAGCACTTGCGAGAGTTGCTTTATATCATTTTGATTTATGAGTTGAGTGCCTAACACTTCTTGAATGGCATTTAGGTCACTTTGAGTAAAAGTGCCATTTTGGCAATTATCACTATTTACATTTTGAGTTTCAACCATCTTTTTGCCCCACCGATAACACCAATTACCAAAGGCGAACCAAGCTTCCGACATATTTGGCTGCTGGAATATACTTGCATTAATAATTTTACCTACTGCTCTTTCTACATCGGGAATTATTTCTTCCATGCTGGTATCAGCCATATTTACTGATATTTCTGGTAACATTGTCAGCAAGTGCTCCAGTTGCGGAGAATTTATGCTGGTGACATTGAAATTTCGTTGCTGTATCCAATCAGCCATGGTAAGTAACATATTGGCACTATGCACTGGATATACGACTTTTGCATTTTGCTCTGCTAGTTCAGCTACGCGACTGCAATAAGCAGCAGCCACATTAATTGCATCCACTTGCTCTGGAACAGATTTGATGTAAATACATTTAGCTGCCTCAATGTACGCCCGCTGTAAATCGTTATCTTCGAAATCAATAATAAATGACTCACTTTGAATGCTACTCATTATTGCGGGTAACGGTTCTGTAAATCCTTTTTGAGCAAAAAAGCGTTCTAACATTATCTGACAATAGTTAATATTGCCTTCGTTGCGTGCTACAGCTGCAATATCTAAATAAATTGAACAGTTCTTATTAATATTGTTGGCATCTAACGCGGATTCATTACAAATCAGAGACCAATGTAGACATTTTGTTAGTATTGTGGACGATTTTACAGACTGACTGCAATTGAAACTATCTAAACCACATGCTAAATCGTCATCATTAATTTTGTTGTAAGCATGATTAAGTATAACTAAATCAGTCGTAAGGTTACTCCACTCGTTAATACAATCGTTAAACAGACTTTGATTAAGGTATGTTTGAATACTGTTGTGTACCTCTTGCGAAATATTTGGATTCACTTCCACGGAAAGTGTCAAGCAGATATCTTCAAGCTTTTGTACAGTTACGTAATTAGCCTTCAAATGATCTTCACCTTCGTTATTATCAAATGACCAATTTGACAGTTGCAAAAATGCTTCACGCATCTTCACTTTTTCATTTTCAGAATGGTATCCCTTGATTAATGCTTCCATAACGTCTATATGCGCATCTGATCTTATATTTGTTATGACACTATTGTGCTTAAACGTGGTGAAACGTTCGAGTAATTTACGCATTTTTGTCCATTGGCCTGTATAGTAATAGCAATCCCATAGCTGATTAATTATGAAATCTTTAACGCATGCGTCAATTGAGTCATCAAACTCATCAAGAATTTTGGCGTACCCAATAGATGCAGTTTCTCTCCGACCGGCTGCCTGATCAGACGCATACAGTATCCAAGGGTATCGTTTTTGTGCGTTTGTCTTAAGCCATGTATACAATCCTTTTAAATTATCACTTTCATTCCCTTGCAATAGACCCCAAGTTAGTGAAGTGATAACTTGATCAAAATGCCCATTTTTGGGCTGATCGATGGCCAGTATGTGCTGTGAATAAAACAAAGATTAGCTTATGAAAACCATGCTTAGTCTAAACTTTTTACCTCTGCGTAACGTATAACATAATCAGGAGCGTTACAATACTGCGCTATTAAGTTGACCCCAAGCCGAATACGCTTGAACCACTCATTACAGGTATGTGCGTTAACACGGAAAAAAGTCTTTGCGGGTTGTTCGGGTGACAATATTGCAAAAGCGGTACCTTCTCCAGCATTGTATATCTGCTTTTCAAGGCTTTCCAAAAACCCCAATAATATTGATGCATTGCGTTTGATTTGAAGTAAATTGTCAGTGCTTTCTTTGCTTAAATCATCTACGTTAATTGTAGCCAAAGTGCGTGCATAATCTATGACGATAGCTTCGATTGCTAGAAAAGTTTCTTGTGGTTTTCCAATTGAAGTACGCATTTTGTTATTTACACAGTAACGTGCTGCTTCATGTTCAAACCAAGCAAATAGAGCTCTTCTGCTTATTTTGATTAATTTTTGATGTGTTATGTCGTCACCATTTTGTTGTGTTGTACATTTCTCAAATACGTTCGTGAGTAGCTGCTCCCAGTTTGTGATTACAGATGCAGAGAATTTGAACTTGTCGAGAATTGGTGTGAAATATTTACCGCGAAGTGCACCTGTGTGAGTAGACATTTTGTACCACTTCTGAGCCTCACGTATTTCGATGTCATATTTGTTAATTGAAGGCGACGTTTCCAGTGGAGATAGTAGTACATTTAGGGGTATTTTGGTAAAGATCGATAAATAGATATTTCTAGTTTCAATGTTGTTAGAATCTAATTGAGTCAAAGCCAAATCTCTGAATATAAAAAGCACATCTTCGCTAATTTTACTATACATTAGAATTGTTAAAAGACATTTGGCAGTTTCACTTGGACATTGCTTGACCGTTGAAGACAACGCACTACATATTCTGATGAAATTCTCATTTTTCTGCAATAGCTCAGAATTTTGTTTGCATTCTACAAGGAGATTATTTAACCACCCTAAGAGCAATATTAGATTTCCATTGGTGATTTTATTGCATTGCTCTATAATGTCCGCTAAAAACTGGAGTATTAAACTAAAATTCTCGGAAGTGGGCGAGTTATTGTCATCGGGATTATCCTCACTAAAACGATTAGCAACCAAAATATTTGAAGTAAGCCAAAAATTTCGATTATTTTGACAGTGAACTTTCAGCAGGTATAGAACCGAATTATGCACCGAAGAATATTTGCACCACATGTCCATATTACCTATTTGGCAATTTACTATAAGTAATTCTAATATTGATGGATTTAGCGCATACATTCCAATAATGGAAGAAGTTTGAGTAGCAAGAGCAGTTAAGGATGTTAAATTAAAATTAAGAATTGCTTTCGCTTTCTCTATATAGTATGATTCTGTTTCAATTCCGGAAAGGATTTGTATGGCATAGCTCATATCATTCTGTATATGTTTATATGCTTCTTGCAATAATGGGACATTTTTAAGTACTAATACTTCATAATATATAAGTAGGAGTAACTCGAATGCGTCTTCTTGTGAGGAAAGCTTTATAACTGATAATGGGCTATCACTTTTAAATATTGTTGATACTAGTGTGCAGGATAAATTAGTGCGTAAAGAGCGTATAACAATTAAGATAAGAAAAAGTAGGCTTCTAGTTTGCTGATCGTTAAAATGCATCAAATGATTTAATTCCAGCTGAATAATAGTTTCGATTTCTATCAACTCGGAAACAGAAAAATTATGTTCATACAATGTGCATATATAATCATTAATGCTTAAAATGGTCTCTTCGCTAACGTAGTCATCATTCAATGTTTGTCTAGTAACTTTTAGTATTATGTCAAATCCTTTTTGAATTATCGCATCGCCAGATTCAAAATTGAAGAAGTTAGTTTGAAACGCAAGTGCTTTAAAAATGGAATTATAGGCACCGATAAATGCACCAATGCGATTATCACATGATTGTTTCACCTTTTCTTCACTTTGTTTATTTGCAATATCATCTCCAAAAGATACAATATCCTCTAGAAATTGTCCAAGTAAACTAATTGTAAAATCAAGCTGCTTGAGAAAATACTGAGCATATTGCTGCAGTACGAACGCACAATGCCATTTCAGTTTTAACGGTTGTTCCACTTCTAAATGCCAGCCTACGATAATGTCGACAACATCTGTGAAATGAATTTCAAACGATTTTTTATATATCTTTGAGAATTCAGCAATTGTTTCACTGATGATTATAAATATCTCAGTAGTTTCGGCGTTTTCAAGGTAATCTTTCAAAACACCTAACAAACGCTCACTGAATATATTCAGATCCATATTCACCACATCACAACTATTAAAATAAATATTGTAACGTATACATATATCAACATACCTCATAAATTAAAACCTTACCTAATTGTCGTTTTCATTGCTATCATCAAATATTTCCGTATATTTTTGTTTGTTTGAAACGCTTTCGTTACACAATTTTTATAAGAAACAAAATCACATCGATTTATATAGCCTAATAATCCAAATATTGTCCCGGCTTTTTCCAAAGTTTCCTTTGGACAATGTTTCAAAATCGATATCATATTTTCAAGCAGATTATCGAAAGACCGTCTTATAAATGAAGAGTTTGCAGGTAAGCGTATAGCAGCTTCAAATTTGCATAATAATTCAAATGCCAATTGCGCGTTTACATTTTCAGCCAGGAGCCGTCGCACAATTTTCGAAATACGTAAATCATCCGTGTGGAGCGAAACCTGAGTTGAAAACATATGATCAGCATCTAATGTTTGTGTTTCATTTTTATTAAAACCTACAAAATGAAAAATTGCAAATTGAAAAATAGAGGTGATTTTAAAAATAAAATTCGGTAATACTCTTAAAATCCAAATGCCCTACGCTAAGCTGCATTCCACCTGAGCACAAGTCATGCATTGTCCCGCTGTAGCTTGGGCCACAATCTGCTGCTTTACTATGCATTATTTGCAGTTCGTTGCATACAAACACTAAATTATTTTTGTATTTTTTGTTTCAACCCAACATTTTTCAAATTTATTTGATAAACTCAATAAAAATACTTCTATAAATAAACTCGCTTTACAACTTAACATCATTCACAATAGATTGTTATGCTAAATGAAATGTGATTAGCAACTTTGCCATATCACCAACATCTATTGTGTAGAGCTGTCAAATGTTCTACACTTTAGCGATTCTATTGCAAACATGTTTTTTTTTTTTTGATTTTACACGAAAATGAGTACTTCAAATAAAATGATAAACCAGTAAAGAATCGAAAAGTGAAGATATTAACAGCTTAACCTGTTTGCAATTTATGTATAAAAAATTTGATTTTCAGTAACGAAAAGACAGTGATATTAGTATTTTAATTGCTTCATTTTAAATTATAGTTTTGACAGTTAGTTCCATCAGCTTTTGAATATAATTTATCTGTATATTTTGGTCAAACTTAAAAGATCAACCCTCAGCCTCAGTACACTTATTTCTGCGTATTTGACGAAATAATTTCAATAGTGTAAATAAATATATTGTAAAATTTTAAACAATATATTACAGTTATACCATATCCATATTGTCCATCCATCTTATCTTATTCATCATTAATCAGTGAAATTATGTTCTATTCATTGTTTGAGTGGATTATAGTAGAACTGTTACGATTATCTTATACTTTTATTTAATGTGCTTGTTATTTGAATAGTTAAAGAAGATTAAGTCGTAAAACAGAGTTGGGTAAATTAAGTGAAAATGATTCGCTTCAGAGTAATACATTTGAATATTTACATTTTTATTGAATAATAATTATATTATACAATCCTTAGCTTAGTGAAGGTAATCATCATATGGCTACATTACAAACAGTCTAATTTATATATATTTATATTTTGTGTTATCAATATTATATGTAACATTAACATATAGTAATAATATAAACATACATTTTACTTGTATATACTGCACATATATATTAATATTACATAAAATAACTTATGCTATATACAAGGAGAACATTAAATTATCATGACTATACTCGTATCTTAAATACTAAATCCTTACATTATAACATTAAGTTTACAGAATGAATTTGATCGACTTAAAAATCGTTCGTAAACTTTAGGAGGAAGACATATACGGAACTCTCTAGTACTGTTATCTTATTATATTTTGAGATCTTCATATGTAGTTTGGGTATCCCGTTTATTTAATATTTCTTGCGACAGTCTTTGTGGTTTGTGCAATAATCTTTGCATGTTGAGAAACAATATTAATATTTCCCATATGAATATTCAATAGTGACTACTTGAAGATGTTATATTAATATTATACAAGTGTTACAAATCATTCAACTCTCTGGTGCAGACCAACGTCGTTTACGGGATATAACATCAGTAGTTTGATCGCTTGAGTCAGCGGATTGGTTTGCAACTGTGTAAATGCTGTTGTTAGGCATATTTGGCGTTCCACGTTGAAAATCATTTTTTGTTGGTTTAGGCATAGAAAGATTATCTGGCTCTGTGCTTATATCTAAATGATCAGAGTTGAGTTTGATATCATTGTGCGTATATCCGTTCGCATTACTCGGCTTCATGCTTAAATTAGTCCAGGAAGTTGATTGCTCTACAGTTGATTTTGGTGTTCTGCTTATATTTGTTTGATTTCGTTGAGTCAAGGAAATGCATATATCTCCAACTTGAAGTCGCTGACATTTTAATCCAAAAGCTTCTAAGGATTTTTCAATATTGCAGGAAGCCCAGCCCTGGCCATATACGAAAAAAGGATGATCGGAAGATACTTCAATGTCCACCTAGTAAATAAATAAAATAATACGATATTACTCTGATAACTTGAAAAACTAATATATTAAATTAATGTATATAATATAATATAATTGAGATACCTATAACGAATATTAGGTGTGGTAAAGTGGTTATCATGAAAATCTCTTAAGGTTCCATAGCTCTTGGTGTTAGAAATTTAAGTTCGAAAGGTTTAAAATCATTTGGAACCTTTCAGCTGACTAAAATAATACAGCAATAAATTTCCTAGCATTTTTAGTTTTCGTCAATCGTACGCTTGTGCATCACAAATCAGGTGTGTAGCACTTTATTTGTGCTCATTATAACTGCAGCATAAATCATTGAAAGTAAGATATAATCTTTTATCAGTCAGTGATAAGTCAGAAGACGTACTCTAAAGCTTATATCTTTACCTAACATCTAAATGAAATCGCTAGATCTTTTTGTATTTAAATGGCACCAGTCGAATCCTACCATCTTCTATTAAATTGCTAAGTAAAAGAAAGTTTCATAAAGTTAGCTAGCGGTACGCCAATATCTTTCAGATATTTCGAACAAGTTTTTAAAGCACCATTTCTGGTTATCTCAACAGTCTTGCAATTGTCTTCGATACGATACGATCCCTGTGTCCCACAACACAGAGAAGAGAAACGTTTAACTATGTTTACATTTCATTCAAAGAAGGCTCGTAACCAAATAAAGACCTATTTGGATATACTGCTATTTTAGTAGTATTTCAAAAATCTCAAGAATTCATATATACAATAAATGAATATTAGTAAAGATTAGTAAAGACAGCTGAGTTAGTTTATTGTAAAATTTGTTTTCCCTGGTAAATTGGTCTTAGTCCTTGTATACGAGTAACAGGATTTAAATCTGTTTGAGATAAATTTATTCATTTTAATAGCTATTGTTTTCATATAAAACTCTTTAACGGTTGCATAGAAAAGAAATTGTAACGGAAAGAAATTAGAAACAGAGAGAGTATTCTATGTTAGAATTATTCAAATTCTAAAGAATGTAGTTACCTTCGAACGATTTTTATCGTAACTAAACTGTATAACCACAGTTTTATTAGGTGTGGAAGTTATTTTAACCACTGTCGATTCGGCTAGCTGATGATGCTGGCTGCGTTCGGCACATGATATAAAATCTTCAGTTCGCATGTCCTCAACTTTTCGCAACACACCGTTTGACAACTCAATATAAGACCCTTTAATAAAGTTGGAAGTAGTGTTGTAGGTTCTAAAATAAATTTAAGATTTATTTCTTGATAGTCGAAGAAAAAAAATGGTTAGTTTTATATTCAAACTTACCTCATGACTGAATTTTTTGTAATTTCTGGTGACTCTGTATTTGTTGGACGGGTGAGTATGCGATGTTTAAGTGATCCTTCCTTGCCATTGGGCACTTTAAAATAATTATTTGTGCCGCTTTCGTTATTCGATATATTGACTTTATCGTTAAGATATGTGCCCGTGGAATATTTAATCATTGGAGTAGTGGTGGTTTTCGTATCGCTTTCAGATTTTTGTCTCTGATTATTTGAGGTATTTGGAGATTTAGTAGTTCTGGTGTATGCCGGCGTCATTGTAAATGGAAGAGCAGAATTGCTTTTATATGACGACAAAACATTTTTATGTGACTGAGTTAAATGGTGGGTTTGCGCTGAATTAAGTATACCAGCAGCCATGGCAGCTTTGATATACTCTGCTGAAAATGAGTTTGCTTCGCCAGATTCAATATTATGATGAGCATGTAAAGCATTTAAGTAAGTTTCATGTGAACTGGCAATATCGTTTGGTGTTTGGTGATGAGTCTGATGAGCGGAAAATACAAGAGGTGCACTGTACAATGCTGCACCGTTTGCGTACAAGTGAGCGTAATTAAACGGATAAGTTGTTGGCAAAGCATTTGTAGCTGTTATATTAGTTGGCTCATTGGATGCCAGAGGTTGGTGCATTAAAGCTATATCAACAGGTTTTCGCGTGGGTGCAGGAATGCTATGCGGTGACATGCTGTCATCATTTTCGATGTCGACTGGTGAACATGATGTAGAATGATCACGTTCTAGATTGTGGGTTGAACTATTGGAATTTGCACCAGTCGTAACTAAGTTCATGGCGCCAGAGTTATCATTCGCATAGTAATTGTTATTATTACTAATGGGTTGTTGATAACAATTTTTGGAGCTTTGGTTCTCTGGAATGGTGCCATTAAATCGGTGCTGTTTTGGATTTGGTTGCAAAAAAGTGTTAATAGACATGTCAGACTCGAGGTCTTCCTTCAACTTCAAACGTTTTAAATTGTTATTGATTGTTTGTGGTATATAGGTGTGACTTAATTGGTTCAAGTGTTGCGAACTATTCAATGAAACATTTTGCTTTAAAAATTTATTTGTAAGGGAGTCCACAAAAGGTGCTGTAATTATGGGTGTAGCTATGAGTGCCTGCTGTATAAGATGACTTTGTTGTAGGTGCTCCGCTTTGGTGGGTACTGTCTGCAGAAGTGGAGTTTGTGGTATTGTGGCATTTGCGGCTGCAATGGCAGCAATTGTATATGTGTTGTGATGGTGATGATGATGATGAGCATATGCAAGTGCAGCCGACGGACCCGTCACAGGACCAAAACTATCAACAGTCGATAACATTTAAATGTAATAATGCGTATATTTTTTTGTAGATATTTTCAAACTTTGTTTTTGATTTACTTGTCTATTATCTATTTAAGAACGCATTCATTATATTGCATCTACTAAAATGACGCAAACATTCGTTATATCAAAATTGTTTTGTTTTTAATAAAAAAATTTACACAAGTTTCAAAAAAATTTATAGTTATGAATTCTGAGTTTTATTTATTCTATTTATTTCAATGCAAAAATAATTCAACAGCAATTCAACAATTCACCAAAGTGGAATGATCGACATTTCGCACTGGTTTGTGAGATTAGACTGAATACTGAATAGTACGCTCACTACTGCCTCCATGTGCTGCGCATGGAAATGGGCGCTTACACACTTATTTACGTCTGATACAACGCATTCTATAACAAATCTTCAACATTTCAGATACTTGTTTTCTTTACTTCTCACTTTTTGTTTTTATTATTTTTTTCTTTTTGTATTTATCGTGTAAATCTGACCTGCTCTTTTCTTTTAGCGATTTACATTTCGATTTGGCTTGGCACAAAGTCTAAATTCTTTTGAATATGGCTACAATACACAAAACAACGAGCCGCACCAACGAATCTACGTCTACCTTTCAGTTTCTATACACACCGACACCGACACCGACACCGACACCGACACTGACAACAACAACAACAGCGACAGCGACACTGACACCGACTTCTACTTCAACATCAGCGGCACGACACGGCACGGCACTGCACATACCGACAAACAGGTACCAAAATTCTTGTTATTCTGGTTTGCGAGTAACTTCAACTTTACTTCACTTTTGGTTACTTCATTTTTCTGTTTTCTGTTTTCAGTTTTCTGTTTTCAGTTTTAGGTATGATCACTGCTGATTAAGTGAATATGATATGATGATGCTGCGGCCTATATTACTTTATATTTTGTTGTCTCGTCTCATTATTGTGCCTCCTTTCTTTTCTCGTCTCTGGTAGTCTGTTACTCTGCTTTACTATTTCCATAGAATAGTGCTTTTTGTTCACTTTTTATACTTGTGTTTCCTTGCGTTCTGGTACTCCTCCTTCGGAATTTGTATGAGTTCATGTATAGAAATAAATTTAGATACTACACAAATTCCCTATATACTCGCATAAATTTGTTGGAATTTATGTGTGAATGTAGGTGCAAACAAAAAACGCATGTACACAGATAAATAAAAACTTATAGATAAACTTCAAAGGACCGGCACATCTGATTTATAACGCTTTATATGTTCTGAAAAATAGTTGAGGTTGAAGTTGAAGAGTTTAGTTAATTAATTGAACGGCAAGACTTTCAAAATAAAATAAAATTAAATACTTAGATTAGAGTATTTTTGCATTATAAGATTAGAAAATAACATTACTGTTATTGAAAAGATTTAAAACTTTTCTTCAATAATTCATATTTCATTTAAAAACATATTTAGGACCAGATGCTTTATCAAACCACAAAAATATATATATTAAATTAGACATTGTTACATTTATACACTTTTCATACTTTTTCTTGTTTCAATAATATAAATAAGTGAAAAGACATCTTTATCTGAAACCATGAAAAGGTGCCACGACTTCAAATTCATTAATGGCAGTGACAAAAAGTCTTTGAAGACTGATCGTCTAACTGCAAATAATCAGATACGGATTGATGAGAATTTTTTATAATGTTATTGGTAAAGTAACTCATTTCATCTGAGGGAGTGAAGTGAACGGTATTTGAACATTATTACTAATTTATGGTTGCAGGACGTAGTCATGGCTGCTAGTAAGCCAATTTTTGAATATTAATATTGAAATATTCGTTCAGAACTTCTTCAATTGTATTATATAATTCTTGACAAACTTAATATACCTCTTTGAGAAAAAAGAGGACTTTGGAATATCTTTCATGTTTATGTCCTACCGTGCCAACAATGCGTGTAAAATGTTTAGGGGTTCTATAATTTGTTAAGTTGGATGGTCTCAGAAAGACAATTTCAAGCAGTTCTTTGATGAGCAAACAGCGTTGACATCCTATGTAATGCGTAACATAAGTCTACATAATGGTCTTGTTTCATTTGGTGACGCTAGAAACCAATATGTTTATGTAGGACTTGCATCAAGCCAGATTAATCTAACTTAAGGCTATCAGCTTCTGGGTTGATGATCCAAAAATCCGACTGTCCTTTTGTCCATTTCATAACAAACAAAACACTAATAACTGGATTATTTATTCCACTATAATAAAACTATGTCCTCCAAAACTATATATAAGTTTAAAATTAAAAAAATACAACTAACTATATCTTCTGTTAATCTCCCTACTTTAATAGTTTCGGATTGAACAAGTAGATTATACATATTATTCAAAATTGCTTGTTTTTTCCACTCAGAATAAAAAATATTTTAAAATAAACTTTTGGACGAATTGTAATAAAAAAATTCATCATAAATTTCCGATTTGATATTATATATAATATTGTACTTTAAAAAGTCATAACTGATATATATCTTTAACACCGTCAAAGAAATTACTACTTATTTTATAAATATTCTAGTCGTGTAATATATACCAACTACGTTTCTGTTCAATTACTTCGGCTGATATTCAATATTTATTATATATTGAAAAAAGTTCATAATTGCAATTTTTTTATTTAATTAGACTGTTGGTTTTTATTTAATTAGAATACAGCTGCTTTTACTAATTCAACTTTAACTTATCAACGAAATTAGAAGTTAAAAGAAATACATATATAGTATTCGATTTTTTTGCTGTTTAGAAAGAACTCATAATGGTCCAAAGTCAGTTTTTTTCTCAGTGTATTAATGAATTTAATTTAATTTTTGTGCGGCTTCAAACTCGTTTAAGCAAGTTCCCAACAACAAGAAAAATACATGAATAGTAGAAATGGCCTTGAAGACAATAAGAACATGAGAATTAGAAGTATCCTCCTTCTATTGGTGGTCCAATTCAATGCCACAGTTCAAAAACTTTTTTTGTTCTATGGAAACAACAATTTGTTGCATTACTTCGTTTCGACTTTTTATTAAAGAATTTGAGTATTTACAAAAGTTAAGGATTTTATAACTTAAATGCTTGCCCTAAACGAAGAATTAAATAATATAAAAAAGAAATAAATAACTAAACGCGACCGCCTGTTTACCGGTGAGACCGATAAGACAGTATTTCAAATCGAAATTGCTTTACTGATAAAATGGCAAGTACGACAAATAAACATAACTTAACAAGTTTGTTTCTTGTGTTGGTTATTACATACGAGCCGTTTACGTGATATTCATTTATTACATAGAGTTATTTTCAATGGCCCTTCAGGTTATCGGTGCCATATCGACACCAATTGCATTTGGCCACTAAATATTCAAATAGCAATTGCGCCTATTATGGCCATAGGTTCCTTTAAATACTGTTTTTACAACTTGGATAGTTCCAGTTGGGTGCACATAGTACGACTACGTCTCTGCAAAAAGTTCGATATCTCGATTTCGTAGTTTACATTTAACGGCGCGAGAACGTCGTACTTCAAATCGTATTGTTCGGTCAGCTAATAAATATTCCGGTTGACAACACATCTTTCAGCGTTAATAATTTTTTTTGAATTTTGCGTGTATTTATAAATTATTTATTGTGTCTCTTGCACTAGCTCAGTAGACGAGTCTAAATTGTTTCTGTTAGTGTTATTTTTTTGTTTTTTAATTAATTAAGCGAAAAACATATACACAACTTAAGATCAGAACGAATGTCGCTTCTCATTGGACAATTAAAAGTAAAAATTATTAATATTTTATTGAGACTAAGACCTTTTTTATTATTTATTTTTGTTGCATATGAAAAACAAATTCTATTGAATATACGAGCGAGCACACAAACTTTATATATGTGTTTACATATGCATATATATATACGTATATATACATAAATATGTATATCAGATATGTAGATATGTGTACGTTGTTGGTAGTTGAGTATATCTGCGTTGAGTTCTTATTGGAGAAGGTTCACAACTATTTAATGTGCAAGCACATGAGTCACTTTTTTCTTTTTATGATGGCTTATGGATTAAATAAATATTTTGTTTGTTTAAAATTATTTACTTTCATTTCTTTTTCTAAAAAGAATACAACAAATTCAGACAACTATTGACACGACATATGTATGTGAAGCTTTCAAGTACACTGAGAGCCGTTGCTTATAAGAATTTACCGAGAACTAAAATTTATTTTTGGAATGGAGTATTCTAAATTTACTCACTTATGTGGCTGCCGGTGAATTAATGCAGTGATCATGATTGAACGATGATGCCAGACTGTGTGTTTTCATATTGAAATGTAGTACAATAAAAACAAATAGCTAAACTGTTAATGTATAAACTTTATAGTTACATTTTTTATTATAGATAGTATTGTATGATATAAAACAAAAGGCTTTGTTGCTACTGATTACATAAGGTTGGTAAACATACTTCGACGTTAGTCACTTAAAGGCCTATTGGTCCCTGCAGAATTGTAGTGAAGAGTTTCAAACTCCATTCCAGACTCATGAGATGTTCACAAATGTGAAATATTTTAAGTTTGTACATAATAACGCAGGATATAAGCATAAGAGCGTTTTATAATATAATTCTTCCAGATCTCTTCATTTCTTACATTAGTCAGTATGGGCAATTTCTAACTTGCATGTGTAGCATGTTAGCGCTATGATGAACTACAATGAACTATGATAGCTCTTAAGTTTTTCTATGGTAGAGCTTTTACAGTTTAAACACTTGTTAAATATTGTCTTTAAGTTCATTAGGTTAATATATCTGTTTAATATATCTGTTTAAATATGTTGTTCATAGTGCAAATTCATAGATATGAACATCAAAAAGTTCATTTGGTGATATGAAGCACATTCATTTGGTGATATGATTGCATGCATTCCCCTTTTTCAATTTTTGATCATGGTAAGCTTCACGTTTAGTCAAGTCAAGGTGGCAAATCTTCTTTGGTGGCAGCATTGTGCACGAAAACTCTTTTAAATACAAATAATGTCTCATTCTGATACCACTGATGAGACACCGACACACACACACTGTACGCTAGACATTGATATTTAAGGAGCACTCTAAAATCTGAAGCTTATGGCTCACAAACAGCGTTACTTTGAGAAGTCAAGTAAATAGTCTTAGGTATATTCTAAAAGTCTTATAGTAAATTACCCTTGTATTTTAAACATAAACAATTTCGTTATTATGAATTTTAAATTTTTATTTTGCGTCCCATTGCTAATTGTATCACATTATATGAAGCAAATTTAAAGTCTAAAGAATAGACATTCTAAAATGCTTTGAAACAAGCAGTTGATATTTTGTTTGCAATTTTTCCCAATCTTCGAACGTTTCAAAGTTCTTTATATGGCGAATTAGCTCACATTGAACATGTTACAGTTACGTTCTCTTTTCGTCGTCTCTTACCCGATTTCATGTATTGTAACTTGCAACCAAGCTTCATAACAATATAGAGTTTAAGCTTTAACGACAGTCCACACTTCCCTCATTTAATCTGCTTCAATAACCTTTATAACAGTAATCACTTGCGCAATTCACCCATCACAGAGAGAATTTTTATATAAAGTATACGTAAAGAACCTGTCCCATCGCAACTCGTGTTAATTATGTTCATTTGTTCTATTACACGTCTGTCAAAGCTTATTCAATATTGAAGTAAAGCTTAGAAGCGCGCTCCTGGAGCTGATTGCATAAAGTCTGCAGTCAAGAAATCAGCTGAATATTAACTTTATCAATGCATTCGATTGGTTATGAAAATAGATTTCATAAAAGTTTATTTTCATTTGAATTTGCAATGAAATAAAAATGTACAATGCATTGGTATCACTAACTAAATGGATAATTAGACAGAGACACCTTTTCAAATAAAAGAAATAAATAGATTAAGTATAAAATGCGTACATAAAGCTTATTGTATAAAATGTAAAGCTAGTATAACTGAGCTTTACAAACCCTACAATATCAGTTTTATAGTCCTTTGACACCTATTTTCGATTCGATTTTCATTCGATTATTCGCATCAATATGGAACCATGCAAATCAGATCAAAATCAGACTAATACGATTTTAATGACAATTGAATGAAAAGGGTTTGGAATTAGTCATTTACTCTTCTTTGCATGGTCACAAACAACAGATGCTTTTAAATGCCGTGAAGTCCTTTTCGTATCCTAAGGTGCGGTATTAAGGATGACAATATCTGTGTTGTTATTTGTACCTTTTTGCATTCTATTTATATTTTTTTAATGATAAGACAGAAAGAAAGATCTCCGACTTTGTAATTGTTTCTTTGCAAAGTAAAGGTGCAATCCGTAAATGGGTAAATTGTTAAATACGAATATCGTAATATTTTACTGTTCTATGCCACTTGAAAAAACAATGCCCAAATTTGGTATAATAACAATTGTGTTATTGAAAACTTATCATTCTCAGTTTAGGATGTATCCTGAAGAGCATTATGGTTCGTTCATAATAAACACTTGAGATTTTTATGAGGGATCAGAAGTTTTGTGTGAAGGCGTAAAGACAAACAATGACCAACACTCGAAATCCCAGCGGGCCTCAAGGTAATTGTGCGAGACGGAAACACACAAAAGTGTGACGTTTTTGTTAAATTCAAGGACTCAAGGAAATACACAAAAAGACACAAGGCAACATTTCTCTCTACCTGTGCCATAAACTAAAAAATTACAATGAAACCATAGCGTAGTAGATAGGCACAATGTCCGCTTCACACAGAAAGGTAATGAAATATCTTACTATAATAGAGAAACGCCAATTACGAGCAAAGATACATTTCACACCTATACTACACAAGCACAATGCGTTGAATGAAGTGTTATGGAGAGCGCCGCGTCGTCCTTTTGCCGTACCATAGATTGTGAAGTGACATTTATTGTTAATATTGCCAATGAATTTTGTGTAAAAGGGAAGAAGGAAAGCATCATATAAATAATTATACACAACGTCCAGCAGTCTGTCAAAAACAAATTGTGTGATTGCGGAATGTGATATTCTTAAATAAAATTAAATTCGCTGAATTTGATATGCTCTAGATAGTGCATCATGTTTATTACTCGATGAAGTTGATTACTAGAATTAATTTAAATTTATTTTATATTTTATATTATACAGTAATATCTTATATATAATAAAACATGGATTTCATCATATATAAATTCCACTTTTACAATATTTTTTTTACACTTAAGATACTCGATTCGCTATGCATTCGAAATACGTGGAATGTTCGCTTTTCAGTTATATAAATCATGCATATGAAAATTTCATGCATATTACCTGCAAGGTACGGGTATACGAATAAAATGCAACCGGTTTCATTCAACAATTTTGTATTTTCCGCGGGAAAGCCAGCATCTTTTAACAATGGAAATACGAAGGTATCTTCATTTGAAATGTTTTCAATGATATAAAATCCTTCATTCATATTGCGAAGAAAATACCTAAATTTCATTTCTATGAAACAGATACCGCATAAAGGATAACGGAATTTTTAGAATAGATTAGAAACACTAAATAAAAATGTAAAAATTATACCCAAAACAGCTATATACACATTTCAAATTGAAGTTTGGTTTTTTCATATATAAAGCGATTAGTACTAGATGAATTTATAACCTCGAATTGATGGGTTCTTAAACATTTTCTATTTTCTATATATATATATATCATTTTTAAAGTTGTCCTATTATAGCTCATTGTAGCTCATGATAGCTTATCATCATCCTAGGTATTATTTGACAGATCAATACTTCTTCTTGTTCTCTGTAATGCATAAGAACGCTACCATACTTATCAAATCTGATCTTTGGATATATTGCTGATTTCACTAAAAGTTTTGTATTTCTCTGAAGCTTTCTCCTTCTCTATTGCATATAATACTAAAGACGAGATGTCGCCCAATCGATTATGTTACAAAGAAATGAGTACTGATTATATCAACTTAGGATGAGCTTGATTTGAAGCTAGCTTGTCAATGCTTTTGTTTATACGACCTAATAGAGTTTTGTTAAATAGTTTCGATCTGATGCACAGCAACATAATACTTGTGTTATTACGTTATTCGTAGCTAAACATGTGGAAGCTCATTCTTCTTCTAAAGTTTTTGTGGGATGTCAATTAATTTTTTTTTCTTTAGAACTAATATACTATAGATATTTTTTGTATTATAGGCTAGAAAACATTGTGTATAGGTATATTGTGTATAGGTATATTTAAATTGAACTACGTTTACACAATTCAGTGCTAGTCATTCTTCTATAAAATAATAATAAAAATAAACGAATAACATAAACGAAAACATTTTAAAAATATTTTCTGCATTCTACGATATTTAGATAACAATTCTCATCCGAACAGCAACAAACTTCGTCCAGAGAACGCAGTAATAGTTTGCGAGTTAGAACATTTGAACCAATGCCTATTCCATTGCCCATCTGTGGTTGTTGTGTGTCTTAAGGATGTGTAAGACGTCTTGTTGCATCAAGTCTTATCTTGGGCTTATCTTGATTTTTTAGAGAAGATTAAAATAATAAAACAAAATCTATCATAAAGTTTAACAATAGAGCTAAAAAATTATTATAATGATCTGATATAATTTTATATTAACTTTTTTTTTTTAGTTCGAGAATGTAATTGGGTAAAACTTGTAAATTCAAGTTTTTGCCATACTATGTTGTGACATAGTATGCTATAAAGTCCGATATCTTTAATCCCATCGAAATTTAAAAAATTACAACCATAACAGAGGGTATGGGTAAAAAAATTATTTAATGCATAGGCACTTAATCTTTGTTAGATTACGATGACGTTCCTAATAAGTTTGTATTCGATTAGAATGAAACCTGAAAGTGAACCACTGCCATCAAGTTACATATAAGTCATAGGCTGGAAAAACATTTAATTTTTAACAAAACTTAAATGGAGAACCTATAAGCCATTTATTGGTATTTATGGGATAGCACAAATGTGATTGCATTTCCTTAATGTGTTTCACAACTTACTCATAGCATAACAATACCAATTTCTCTGTAAGTTATTTCTATTAGACAATTTTTTTTTACACAATCAAGTATATAATCTAGACAAGGTCTGCCAATTACTGATCTTTTTCATCTGTCAAACGAACCGAAC